CATTTCATCCGTTGGATCATCGAGGATGGAAAGCTGCATCTGATCTACTGCCCGACGGCCGAGATGGTGGCCGATGCTCTCACAAAGGCTTTGCCCTCACCGAAGGTCAAACACTTTGCTGCCGAACTTGGACTCCGCGCGGTTTGAGGGGGAGTGTTGGAGAGACAAACGCGCCCGGATTCCTCGCAACTGACATTTGCCTTTTCTGGACTATCGTATCTTGTTGACAGTTCCATACGATTCACCTCAGCAACGCTCGTTATTTGATATTTCCACTTATTAGACTTATGATAAACTCATATCAACGGTATCGTTATCTTTGTTCCTAGACGTATCATAGCATACAAGTACCGCGCGCGTCTCGTACGCCAACCTCATCTTTGCATTGTCCCGGAAGACGTGCTGAGTGAGCCTTTGTTGTCTTGCTACAGACGACAACTACGTCTTCGCAGAGATCGTTCATAGCCAAAATGTCAACGGTTCAACCACATTTCCACGGACAACGTACGATACTGCGCACTCATGATTCAACGGTAGGCTCCAACAGTGGAAGTCACAGGAAACCGGATGATGTCTGGCGTCTATACTAAAAGCCGCGCAGACTCACCGGTGACCATGGTGCTTCTAGCGTTCGAATGAGATTCCTCTGGAATACCTCCGTTATTTTCGATATTCAGAGCTAGATAAGGCGATAGGACCATCAAGCACAGTCTCTGAATGTTGAGTGCTATAGTTAAAGTCCAGCGAAGGATGAATTCGGAGTCAGAATATGCGCTGAGGCTCTGTCAAATTCCGCATGTTCCGTAGGGAGTCCGTAGTATTGGGGGGCTACCCGGAAACGGCCGGTGCCTTACATCTATGCTTAGCACTTACACCTGAGGCCGCTGGGAGAAGGTCAATCGTCCGATTGGATTCCTGCATTCATGTCCGGTCTTCTATCCGGACATAGCATCGGGTTCCTGCAGCAAACATAGCCGCGCTTCTTTCATGCATGACTCAGACGAAACTATGTATGCCAGGTGTGCTGCCAAAGCTGCAGAGGACATCCCGCCTGCCGAGCAAGCGGCCAATGATTTGCAAGGTCACAGGCTCCATACTTAGGTCACGGACACTCGGGTGTGGATGCACTCATGAGCTAGGTCCGAGAAGCCTTGGTGCGGTTCCGGAACCTTACTTGAAAGTGAGGTCTACTTTGGTCTTTACGGCCGAATGTTACTTTCCTCGTCCTTAGGTTCGACGGAGTGTCGCACATCGAATGCGCTCCTGGCCGAGAAGCCCACAGGTAGAATGAATGACAGACAAGTTTTACTTGTCAGCATATTACGATGAAGATTGGTGAACTTCTCCGTCTTCTTGACCGGAGAACTCAACCTCGGGACAACCTTTGGTAGATCCCGCGAGCACATGTCGGGACTTGGCAGAACTGTTCTGTCAACTGTTCGCCGTCTGTGTCATTGCTCCAATGAAGAACATGGGCCTGCCGATCTTCATGCGCATGTGTAAATGAGCTTCGTACTTGGAATACGGGACTCATTACAGTCCCGACTATGTCATTGTAGCAAAGCCCAGATCATCAACTATGCTCTCGCTTCGACTTGACGTCAAGGCGCTCGTCAATTAATGACTTCCGCTGGCTCAGAAGCTCTGCTTCAGCCCTGGTATGTAATCACGTACCAATCCGGGGTCACGTCGCCCGTCCCGTGAAGGGAACATACTCGCATAGGGAGTAACCAAGATGTACGGTGCTACACCTAATGTCCGCGGGATTGATCAAGCTTACGGAATTGCACTGATATCTGCCACCCTCGTGCTAGGCATGCCACCTGGATCGTGATCGACCAGATTCCTGAGATGGACTGGAGTCAAATGGATTCCCTTGTGCTCGCCAATTCGGACAGCCTGCGGAGAAGGATCCACCCGCACCTGGATCTATACTGATTATGGACGAGCGTATAAAGACCTTGGAATACCATATCCCCTCCTTACCCCAACCTGGTCGGTGTCCCTACCCCTTTGCCTCCCAGTGCTCACTTTCATGAGGTGCAACCTACCCACTTTTACCATGATCCTCACACAGATCCTACACGCGTCTCTGTTGGCCTTGCTATCCCTGCCATTTGCCAGAGCCGACCAAACGGCAGAGGTCGTGCTAGTCAAGCCTGCGAGCTCTGCAGCTCATGGACGTTGTGCTACCCCCAGCATCAGAAAGGAATGGCGCACGCTCTCCCGCGACGAGCGAGCTGACTTCATCCGAGCTGCTAACGTATGTCGCTATTTTTTTAACCAACAGCGGTATGCTCAAAGGGATCACATTTCAGTGTTTAGCACGGCTCCCTCATACCCCAGATCTCAAGCCCTCCGTATTCCCTGGAGATATCCCGCCTATCAATGAGTCAGGCTCTTATTTCGATGGTATGCCTTCGTCTACCACTGTCTCATCTCCACCTCACTATCTCCCTAGACTTTGTCTATATCCACATGGATCTTAATACTAAGGTCTGCACCTGTAATTTCTAGAGCTGAAGTTTGTATGAATCGGGCAATAGATACACTACACCGGCCACTTCTTCCCCTGGCATCGGTGGTACATTAATGCTTACGAGACCGTTCTCCGGGAGAAATGCGGGTTCCAAAGCGTCCTTCCGTATTGGAACTGGTCTATGGGTGCGTTATCATCGTCGTCGACAGTTTGCTGTGTTCATTGCTAAAGATTACGTTAGATGCGACGGACTTCCAGGGTTCCGACTTCTGGAAGGACCCCGACCCCGTCAGCGGCCTTGGAGGCTGGGGAGATCCCACAAAGTATTTCGCTGTACAGGATGGTGGTCTGGCTGGCCTCCCTTTGTCCTATCCGTCGTACCACGTATTGCGTCGTAACTTCACACTGAAGCCGTACTCCAACGCGCCGAGGCCTTGGGTGACCGATCCTGACTGGTACGGCAATAATAGCTTCACGATTGGAGAGGTCGCGAAGATGATCAACGGTTTTACCGGGGACTTCGTCGGGCTGCAGACGGAATTGGCGAAGTTCCAGGTCATTCACATTAAGGATTCATTTTGGTGGATATTATCTGACGTCGCACTGGACAGGGGTCGCACAATAGTCTTCACTTCATAGTCGGAGGGTGCGTAGCTATAGAGGCGCTTGAAAGTCGCACAGTTAACTAGGAACTCATTTGCAGTGATCTTGGTGGTACGTGTCCCGCTGGTGCACCTCCGGACTGTGTACCTGGACCAACCTTCTCAGTGAATGGTGAGAAGGCCCCTTTCAATCATACTTCGCTTCTAACTTCGAACCGCTAGACCCGATATTCTTCCTCCATCATGCGGTAAGATTATCCCCCATCCTAATCTCCGTTGCCGCACCGAACTAACGGGCCCATGCTTAGATGGTTGACAAGATATGGTGGGACTGGCAGAACAGAGATAGGGCCAACTTCTGGCAGTTCAGCGGGGGGACTGTCTCTGTTCTCGACGATTACCCTCAGTTCCAGAAATACCCCACTGGCGCACCGCCAATGATGAGCGTAAGTGGTAAATAACTATATAACAAAAGCAGCGGGCTAACAGTACCCGAACAGTTGAATTCGACCATAATGACTGACGGCATGTTTCCGGAAATAACGGTGTACGACGTAATGAACACTACTGCTGGTTATTTATGCTACGTCTACCAGTAGTCTTGATCGGTGATCCGCTACATCCTTTCCGCGGACTCTAGGTATTTCTGTTTAGTACCCGCCGCCTTGTAGCAACTTCGTGCCATTGTATAAATACCATCTTCCGTCATCGATTTTTCCTTCGCGCTCGGTACCGCAGAACCAGCATCTCACATCTGTACGGGTGCAGCTCCTGAAAGCGCTCCGGGACGTCCGCGGCCAGCGACTGGTTTATATACCTAGGTTGATGATACATGTACCAGCGTGACACGCATAATCCTGTCGCTATAGTCGAGAGGGTAGACGCGCGCTCACAACCTTTAATGACCTGAAGACAGTATCATCATTCTGCGAGAGGAGGATCCACAGTACTGTCGTAAAGTTTCGGCACCTTGAATGCTGAAATGTACCGTGCACTCTGCGCCAAGGATCTACTGAGGCCTGAGGGCTCCTGTAATCGAGCTCTCGCGTCGGCAGTACAATATTCGGGAGGTACTGTGGCAGTCGGTAGCATAACATGACATGACATTGCAAGCGCTCTAGTGCTAAATTGCCAGATGCCTGCAATTAAGACCGTGGATTTTAGTATTAAGACAATTGCTTGTCTACTGAGTCTTATTTAGGAGGCGCAGTATCAAGCCTAGATTTTTAGTATTAACGGTCAGGATCCAGGATTCAGAGCTACCACCGGATACGACGGTGGATAGGCGTTGGGTTTCGGGAGCAGGGACGAGCTCGCGCCGCGTCGCCCGGGCGGCCCCGACTGATAAGGTGATAAGGAAATCGTATATACTCGTCGTATTGACTCTTGCAATGTACCGTACGCGATTACTATATTGCCCAATGGCTCCGGGCAATCGCATTCGTTCTATGTTTACTCGGATTATCTCAACGATAGATACGTGATAATGCTTCAGTACTGGAGAGTTTTCTTCCAACTTGAACTCAAATTGAACTTGCAATTGAAAGATCGTGAGACGAGGACGTGGCAATCGGAAATTGAGTCTGACTGCCTGGTGCTCGGCTACGCGTTGCCTCACAGTACTTACACTTGATAGCCACCCGCCGTACATGGCAGTCAGCTACTTATAGCAGCTTATAGCTCGCCGCTCGGGGCTGCCTTCAAGTTGAACTGTCTTCGACATCATGCACATTCGTGCTCATCTCCGCAATTTTCTTCTCGGTAGACGTTAAAGATGCTCTTATGTGCGGGAACTTGCTGAGTTGCGTCATACGTCTCACAGAAGCACAGCTCAAAGGAGAGCAGTTGATGGGGGCAAGCTCATGATCATACAGGCACGCCAGTCCTTGGTCATTTTAAGAGCTTTAGCTAATGAATTCCAGTCTGATAATCTCGGGCTGATCAGCCCTGAGGTCTGAGGCCTGATGCATTGTCCGGAATGCATTGGATTGTACGGACACCCGAGGAGCTACAGGAACACATCAATCTCTCCGCGGGCCCGTGAACGAAGCGCATATATGATACACCTCTGTCAACAGGTAGTGTCTCTACTGATGTCGCGGTGAGACATGAAGCAGATGTGACGTAATCCGTTCGTGTATGGTAGCTTACAGACATGGGCGCAATCTGCAGTAAGATCGGCCCTGCCACCATTCCCAAGTCTCAACATGCCCATGACGCTTACAAATATTCCCAACCAGGCCCATACTGCCTAGCCGGAAGATCACCAGGAGCCCCGATTCCCTGGAACTCTGCTCTGTCTCACGGCAGATTGAAGCTGTGATTTGATGCCCCCTTTGTGCAATCTTCGCTCGGTCGAATCTAGAGATTGCTATGTACGTTGGTCGGCATACCTACCCCCATGGGAGGAGATTTTCGTAACATGCGGTCCTGGACATACGGTTTGGCAGGTTAATAGTGCGTATCAAATCTCACTCGGGTCTAGGCATGGGAGTCCGGTGGATTTTCCCCCTCGCTTCGCCGTCGTATAAGATCCAGGGTCGAATCTCCCTCTCCTTCATCATTTGGCCTGTCTCTCCAATACTATACGTGCTCCTCAGCTGTAGCGATTGCGCCGCTGGTGACCGCCAGATTTGCATCTCTGACGCTTCAGCAACCCACATGTACTCGAGGATAGCTTCCTTAGTCTTGGCTGCACTGTCCCTGGCCTCCAACCTACTACCAGTTGCGCAGGTGGATGAAGCCGCGGAGGTTATCCTGGCTTCGCCAATAGTCGAAGCCTTCAGTGCTCAGTGCACTAAACCATCGGTTCGCAGGGAGTGGCGGAAACTCTCTCGCAAAGAGAGAGCGGACTACATTAGAGCTGTCAATGTACGACATACGATGTTAAGTTGCATTATGAAGTGCCTCTAGCTGACATTCGGTGTTTAGTGCCTCGACAATTTGCCCCATTCTCCAGACTTGAGGCCGACGGTCTTCCCCGACGACATACCTCCCGTAAATGAGTCTGCATCCCTATACGATGGTAGACGTGATGCCTCTTCTTAGCGGACAAAGCTCACCTTGTCGTAGATTTCGTATATATTCATATGGACCTGAACCGCAAGGTAAACTGTCACGATATCCTCGTTGGACTTATATTAACGAATCGATTCCAACTAGATTCATTATACCGCCCTGCTTCTTCCGTGGCATAGGTGGTATGTGAATATGTACGAGATCCTCCTAAGGGAGAAATGCGGCTTCAAGGGTATTCACCCGTACTGGGATTGGACAATGGGTAGGATGACTCCGTACTTTCATTCCATGCGGTGAAGTGACTCAGGAGAGTATTCAGATGCGCCTGACTTCCAGAACTCAGACTTCTGGAAAGACCCAGACCCCGTTAGTGGTCTCGGGGGATGGGGTGACCCCTCCAAGGATTACGCGGTCACGGACGGCGGTTTCGCTGGATTCAGGTTGTCTTACCCAACGCCACATGTGCTTCGCCGGAACTTCACGCTACAGCCGCACTTGAGCCTGCCGAGGCCATATGCTCCTGATCCAGAGCTCTATGCCAATGAAACCTTCACGGCTGCAGAGGTAGAGAAGATGGTGACAGGCTTCAAGGGCGACATGATTGGTTTCCAGCGCTACTTAGGAGCGTTCACGGTAATCGACCATGTCCCCTGAACGAGTGTGTCCTGTCTGATCGCCGTTACACAGGGCTCCCATAATAGCTTGCACGTCATCGTCGGGGGGTGAGTTAGACTTGCGATCCGCTGAGTGCACTGTTCATTCCTCTATCATAGCGATCTTGGTGGACAGTGCCCCACCGATGCGCCGCCGGGATGTATCTCTGGTCCTACCTTTTCTGCCAACGGTGAGTCAGAATATCAAGGGTCTTCCCTCACATGTCTAAACACTATCAATTCAGACCCACTATTTTGGCTACATCATGCGGTAAGCCTCCTAGACAAGCGCCTCAGAGCTGCGGATGACGCCGTTCATTTGTTTAGATGGTCGATAAGATCTGGTACGACTGGCAGCGGAACGATCCTGTGAATTTCTGGACATTCCAAGGGGGGAGTGTTCAAGTCATCTCAAACTATACAGAATACGAGATGTGGCCAAGCGGAGCTCCGCCGTTGATGAACGTCAGTTTTCTCTGCTTCAGTTGGTATTTGTCTTGTTAATTCGGATTCATGCAGTTGAACGACACCATGCCTACTGATGGTATGTTCCCTGAGATGACGGTTTACGACGTCATGAACACTACCGGGGGATATCTCTGCTATGTCTACGAGTGAAACTTATCGTTGTCTTCTTGACAAACTTATCGTCTTAGCCATGTCGCGTTTGGTGATTTACCCCTTGCCTCTTGCTAGAGCTCTATTATTATCACGTTCCTCGACTTATCTAGTATATACTAGACCTGTAGAGACGGAAACTCGTTAGGTCGTTCGTGAATGCAATTGTTTATTGTTCAGAAGGAAGGCGGTGCCGTCGGGCTGCAACAACTAGTTAACTGTCTATACCGCATGCGGTCACTGCCTTCACCGAGCTTGTAGCTATAGGACAGTAACTGCGCAGGATCGCAGCAGAGTTCAAATATCAACAAACGTTACGGCTTCTGTGTAGCTTTGCAGTTGGATATGTAATTTGGAATTTTCCAAAAACTCTTGCTTTCTCTTGATATGAAGGCCGTAAAGAGTCGGTTTGTATATGCTACAAGGTTTAATAACATTTGGATTCTGACGCCAAGAGACCGCCACCGGGATTTCTATCAAGTCGTTTCGCACTGGTAAGATGGTGCCATATGGATGATTTCATTCGAGTCAGAAGATCCTGCCATAATTAGTCCTGTCTCCTCCAGGCATTCTTCCCGGAACCAACCACTTAAGCTAGTTAGACCCATTGCACCCTCTATCATCTTCATTCCCCGATAGAGCGGAGTAGGTATACCATAACTGCAGGGGAGATATCATACAGTTAGGGGGCTTTGCATTCCAATTAAAATGCAGGCGCGCACAGTTACTTGCGTTAAATCCGCCCTAAGTCCACTGGTGAGATTAACGGTGCGTAGGCTCGAGCGTTGGTGAGAGTAATCTGGAGTGATCACCCTGAATGATTGACGGAGCCCGAGGAAAGCGATGGATATGATACACGGGGCACTGCGATATGATTTGATCCCGGCGGGCGCGGTGGTGGGTTTTCTGGGGCATTATCATATTCCATCCGATGATTGACTCGCCTGTGACGTGAAGGTATACGGCGCGCTCTCCACGCGCAAAGCTTGATGGAGTGGGTTTACGGGAGCGTCAGCACCCAATCGCATGGGCCGGCGCTCACGCAGGGCTCGACACCTAGTTGGAAGGGCCGTAGGACAAGGAATAAAACAAAGTCGTACATGATATGCTTGCGCTCAGCTAGGTCCAAGAAAGCTTGGTTATGAAAGAACCGAGATACCCGGATTTTCGTCCCAGTCCTGAGTGCATGGGTATTCTGGCGGGTTGTCTGTGTGGACAGCTCTAGGGACAGATGGATCCCGCAGATGGTCCAATTCCGGAAAGTTCTCATAGCGTAATACTGCCCTTCTGACGTTCACATAGTTACTGCACTAGTACTGCCCAGCATGATGCACGGTAGCCAGAGAACTCGGAATTGGGAATGTTGTGGGAATCCGAGATATTCCGCGGACCGCTTCGTTACCGAGAATGGAAGGTGCTGTAGAATAATCAAAAAAAGAAACAGACACGACAGAAACATATTGGATTGAGAAAATCTGAGAAGAGTTCCAGTAGCGCCCGCCGAGTCACTAATACTCGTTTGGAGGTCTGTGGGTGCAATCACGATGACTAACTTACAACAAGGCTCCTATGTGCGGCTCGTGAACGTATGAACTGCAGGCAGCCCACAGAATATGTCGCCTACATTGACAAGAGACTGCAGGAGGCCTAGAATAACGGAGTGGGTGCTGTGATGCACAGACTAGCAGTTACGGCATGGACACTGGTACTGAAAAGCGTGTAGTCATCGCTAGCCATATGCATACGTTTCCAGTTGCTCTCAGCCCCGAGAACTTGACAATTTGTAGACCATGTTCGTCCGGCGCAGGTCGGGCGTGACAAAATGTGGAAGTGAAGCGGTGGGAGTGAGTCAAAGCCTCGCTTCACTGCCATGCAATGCGAAGCCGTGCTGCACTCCTTTATGGTTGCTTTTGTTTGGTCCCACCCGTGCTTACGGCCACGTCAGTCGAGCCTTCTTTCCTCGTAACCTCCACGTAGTCCACGTCTCTCCGCAGTTGCGTCCTCATACAAGACAGCCATTCCTTTCTGTCTACAACCCAAACACGTCTGGCTAACGTTTCATCTCGCTCTAACCACGACATCATGAACGTCAGCAATCCATCCGTAGACCCCATGTCTCTGTCTCTCCCTTCACCGTCTGACAGTACCTCGGGCAAACGATCATCCAGTCCAGACAGCAACGTGGAAGGACCTTCGCGCAAACGACAGAGGTCCGACGCAACCAGCGAGGAGCGCAGGGAGGCGCGTATGCACCGTAATCGCATCGCAGCCCAGAACTCTCGCGACCGACGCAAGGCTCAATTTTCCTACCTTGAACGACGAGTGGCGGAACTCGAGGAGGAAAATCGACAGCTACGCGCTAGCTTGGGTACGCAGGGATTTATCAGGGCGCAGGACACGGGCTCGCTGGGGCAAGAGAAGGAGAGGGCGAGGGATCGAGAGAATGAGGAGTTGAAGGAGAGGATCAAGACCCTCGAGAGGGGTTGGGAAGCTGTCGTCAAAGCGTTGGCTGCCCAAGGTCTGCCTACTGGTCTCTCCTCGGCCTCTCTACCTCCTGCGTCCACACTTGAACCCTCAATACGCCCCTTGCCTGTCGCTGTGCCTCCAAATTTCCCCTTGTCGCCTGCCCCATCCCATTCATCTTCATCCGCTCTCCCCAGTCCAGGACCACTCTACCCTGACGGATCAGATTTCACTCGCCACTCAGCACGGGTGGCGAACATCGACCCAACTTCGATGTCCCAGCAGCGGGTGAAGCAGAATCCAGTCAGCTCAACGGTGTCCTTGCGACTGCGGGCCCATCCCTCCCGACGAACACGACAACTTCAACTATCGACGAAGCAGCTATGGACACCCTGCTCCGCGAGATCCTCGCAGAACCCCCGTCTACTTCTCTTAACTCATCGCCGTCGCCTCTCCAACTCCAGGTCTCCCCTTCATACTCACCAACATCCCCGGTACCGATCACATCGACAATAACTCCTCCGACCGATGCCGTCGCGAATGTCAGCGACTGGGAGCCCGACATGGAGATGCAGAGGCTGCTGGACTTGTTACCAAGCGTCCAGCCGGATGGCGAGGAGTTCATTTCATCAAGCCTTGACTTGGATCTTTGCGGGTGGGATATGGATAGTGTCGTCCACCCCACATCGTCAAACCAGCTTGGCGTCTTCTGAAGGGATTCACCCGTCATCTATGTTTTGTCTCTGTTTTCGTCTATTTATTCGCAGTCTCTTGGTTCGGACGGTTTCATTGTTTTCCTTTGTCTCCGGTACTCACGCAGGGCACATATATCGTCCATTGTCTTTCTGCTTTGTACGGCCGTTGGTTGCCTGTCTCCGTCACGCTGTTTCCGGAGTTTTCTCATATATTCCGATGCTGTCTCCTTTCTACTGTTTACTACACTTTCTCCTCTTCGGGGTTGATGATAGTGCTGTAGCAGTGGCGGTGAGCGCTTGGGGTGCATGGGATTGCTGGATTCTGTAGTCGTCGTAGTAGGTAGCTTGCACTGAGCATTATGTAGAAGGCAATGGATGACCTGCGTCGCTCACATCTCTCTGCAAGATTCGTAGTGCTAAGAGACAACATCATAGGGTTACAAAACACGCTATTTCACCGGATACCAAAGAGAGTGAGCACCAAATACAGCTGCGAAGGCATTGCCTCAAGTGATCTACGCTGGCGCCCAAGTGTGGACGCGAGCATGGGACGTCCACAGAAGGATCAGTCTTTCATCTCCTCGTCCTTGGCCTCGAAAGTGTCTTCCTCGTCTTCGTCCTTGTCTTCAGGCTTCAAACCTGCCTTGGCTAACGCCTCGGGGGAGGTGTAATCGACCTTGACACCGCGGGTACGGCGCCCGGTCGGAAGGATCACGGACGGGTCAATCTCTGCAAGACTGTCCTCCTAGTCATAAAGTCAGCATCGTCGCCCAGGATTTATGCCACACCGAAATGTTCAAGACAATGGCGTGGAAGGTGAAACTATGGCGAGCTCACCTCTTCGGCTTCTTCTTCTTCTTCCTCTTCCTCTTCCTCTTCGTCGTCCTCCTCATCATCATCGTCGTCTGCCATTTCTACGTCTGGCTGAACAAACTTGCCCTTGCCCTTGTCTCCGGAAGGGCTAGTAACAGACGCGTCTCTGCGAAAAAACACGCATAATGTGAGTCTGTGTATCCGTGCCACGAGAAAGTCACGACGTACGACGCGCCCTTTTGGCCGGCTGATGTTGCTTCGGTAGACATGGAGAGCGTACTTTTGAGTTGTGGGCTGAGTGGTGGTGAAAGGAATGAGACGCGGTAGTGGCGGTTTTGAAATGAAAGACGCGTCGAGGTTTGCTTCGGTCCAGGCCGAGCGGAGTTCCAAAGCCGATGTACTGTTTGGATCCGGATGTGGCTTCGTGTGATGTGGCTCCGTAGTCCGAGTCCTCCTGCAGTGTCCCGGGAGAATATGGGCCACCGACACCTTTCTTCCTCAACAAGCTGTTCGGCTATTTTGGCCAGATTTGTACTATAGGTTCAAAGAACCGGCAATGGGCGATTCAAACAGGATGTCCTTGAACTGCTGGTTCCTTGAACGGTACGCCCATCCCAAGCTTGGCGCTGGGTGCGTTAAAATCCGTTTTTTTAAAGAGGCATCGGGCGCCATGAAACGAAGGGGGTGATAAAACGACCATCGCATTCCTAGCCGGAACTCTGACCTGCGTCCATACATGCTTCCTATGGATGTTCTGCCTAACGCACGCTGAAGTTTTCGTACCATTTCTACAGGGTCAGGGGCTTCAAGGCGACTCGGCCTGACAGGGCCTGACCCACTGACGAGGCTCCGCCCGCGCTTAGCTTCCTTTCTGACGACCTTGGATAAAAAAGCCTGACGTTTCGTTACAGTACTGGTCGATTAACGTGGTGACAGTGATGCATCTCTTATCACCCGAGGAAATGCAATCAACAACTTGAGACGCTGATTCCTTCGAAGTTGCACTCTTCCTGTCCATCCGATTCGCACCAAGTCCACCTCCGGTAAGCTGCGTCAACCTCGTCAACCATATCGAATCAAGTGAGCGGTCTGAGTGTTCAGATATCCTGTGCGGGGACGTCCTGGACTTCACCTCTTGACAGCGAGCTCTCCTATAGGATTCACATAGATTCATTGCTTTCCTAGTATGTAGTACTGTAGCGGTACTAAGCGCCTCCTCAACGCCCATAGGCTTCCCAGGAACAATGTTACGGCTTCTCGAAAGGTGAGATGCGGTGCAACCTTGTGCTCACTTTGGAAATACCAGGCACGTCATCTGGCACTGCTTCTTATCGCCGAGCACTGACACCGAGTGTCCTCGAGCGAGTCAGGTCCAATCAATCACTGTGGAGAAACGAGAGGATTGCGACTGCTATTGACGTATCTTCACCGATGGTAGTGTATATTTCGGATGAATTTCATGCTGTTTTTCTTGGAAATATACGCGTACCCGCCGCCGTTGGTATCGGCGTTGCTCATAATGCGAAGTGCCACGTATTTACGTGTAAATAGGTTAAATCTACCGCCCGCGCGTACATATGAGGCCGTGGGGGCCGGAAACCGAAGATTCCAAAGAATCCCACTGACGGTAATATCGACCTTCTCGCTCTCTCTCTCTCTGAGTCTCTCGCCCATCGCCGTTCCAACCTCCAAAGCGTAGCCTCCTGCGACGTCCGTAGCTGTGTGCCTTTCCAAATTCTTCCAGCAGGTGCGGTTGATCGAGGCGGTTGAGGTGACATTGCTAACCGCCAGCGCAGCCACGTGCTGTCATATCAATCGACATCGGGATCGACGCAACAGCACGCCCTTATACCTCCGTTGCCAGTGACAACGGGGGAAGGCGCCGTATGGGGATCAGCATAGCTTAGAAAAATTGACTTCGCTTTATAGCGCTCGCTGTCGGGTTCGACAAGGACGACGATGGTGAAGTCCACCATCACACCCTTCACTCTGAAGCGTCCGACCACCTCTCCCGGCTCCTTCGAATCTCTTCCTAGGACGACTCCCTCACCCTCAGTCTTTCCTTTTCGTCTTAGCTTTGATTCATCAAAGATACAGAAGGATCCCCTTCTCACACTCACGCTGTCATCACCATCATTTCTGGATACAGCCATAACCGATGAGCTCACGGACAACCCAGTCTATGTTATCGAGACATCTGGAAGGACGACCTCCATCTTGCGCACCAACACTGCGCAGGGCGGATATACCAAAGCCGCATCCATCAGATGGCCGAACCCCGAGAAAGGCAAGGGCAAGAAGAAAGCAAACGTCAATGATATCTTGGTATGGATAGGGAAGAGCAGTTGGATGGGGTCGGAGGAGTTCTTTGTGTTTGGGACCACCTTTACGTGCGTACACTGCCTGGACGTGTTGTAGTGCTACTAAGGGTACTCACAGTGAGTCGTGTCTCTTCAGCACCAGGAAGTTCATGCTGCAAGACTATCCTGACCGGTTGAAGTGGAAGCACGTAGGATCTGCCTATCATGTACGTTCCCTGCGGCCTTTGTAGGGTGCCTCAGCTAACGTCGCGCAGTGCGTCACGAATAATGTGAAAGGCCCAGTGGCTGTTTTAGAGCCATCTACTCTGACCAGTCCGACGCGGCTCAAAGTGTTCGAGACTCTCTTCAAGAGGGGAGATGGCCCTAAGATTGACTATCGTGCCATTCCCATCGTCCTGATAGATCACCTTATCATCACGGCTTTTCTGCTGATGACCGATGTCGAGGAATGGGAAAAGGCCGGTAAGGCCGAAGAGTACGAGAACCGCGATAGGGCCAGATCTCCTTCACCTTCCACCGCCGGTCCCAGCTCGTCTGCTTCCGCTGACTCAATACGAAAGTGGCAAACGCTCGTCCGGGGAAGCTTCATACCTCCCCCGCGCCCTAGACCCGCGAGCCGCAGTTCGGCATCACCTAGTGTCACCCACCGAACGTCTATGCTCTTCGATTCAGGGATGTCGCAGTCATCGGGCTCCGATATCCCCGCTAGCGCCACTTCCGCTCCTGGCGAAGTTAGGGTACAGTCTTTCCTCGAGATGGTGACGCCAGAGATCCCGTCCCAAAATTACCAGTATCCTGCAAGTATATCTGGTAGTAATCATCCTCCTAGATCCATTTCGATGTCGAACATGTCCACCACAGGGTCGCTTGGCCGTCGGAGAGAACTGCCAACTCCTCCGGTCGCATACGACAGGCCCAGGCCCGACCAACCGTGGATGCATCGTTCATTCTCCAGCCATTCGCCAGTCAGTCCGACGTACGAATCGTCTATCTCTGCCAATAACACCGGCTCACCGATGTCATCTAATGCACCCACGAGTCTGTCCCTTGAGCCGTGGTCCATACCTTCGGCCACGACGGCCTCTCCTATGTCTCTTCACCCTCACAGGCTTCAGCTTCACCGTTCGCACTCTATCACGTCCCTGCGATCTCCAGCAGAAGAGCACGATAATGATAATCGGGGCGGGAGCTCGTTGCCGCCAAAACTGGCCCGAGAACGGCGTCGGACTCGTCGTCGACCGGCTACTGCGCCCATGAGGGACTCTGGGGTAGCCAGACCGTTCGGGGCTAGTCACTCCCAGACGCTGATGGGCATGAGGTACCAGGACGACCCCGACGTGCTGGCAGCGACGTTGCGGGACATCGAATTGAGCATACGCGAAGACGATGATCAGCCTCCACCGGCATACGATGCCATCGACTTCTCTCAGCCGAGGCTACACCCACCCCCTGAACATCCTCGGCCGCACAGAACGCCATAACCCCAGACCGTCTCGTATATCCCTCATTTGCTGCATCTAGCGACAGGTACAAATAATGCATATACTGTATATTACAGCTAAACCCCATCGCATCTTTCTCGCCCCTTGTCTTCATACAATTGTACATATATTCACCTGCTAGTTGCTCCCCCGGCCCAGGGTGGCTCATTCGATCTTTTTGAGTTGTCTTTTTACTTGTTTGCTTTCCCCACTTTTCTTGCCCCCCCCCCCCTGGATCATGGTCATTTGATATCCCGCATACCTTGCATACTTGAAGTATAGTAGTAGAAACCTAAATGAGTTGTAGCAAATGCAAAGCCGTTCACGGATTGTACATGTAGTTGACAGGGCTTCGCCTACCTCACGCGCGTGGCATATTGGCCGCACACACGATTCGACTTCTTGCATGCCACTGTTCCAGGTACACCACGGTACAGGGTCTCTCAAACGACGAGATTCCCTTATTATCCCCAATGCATCATCTTGAATCGTCAGTCCGCCTGTGGCAAGTAGGTACTAGACACGATAGTCATATTTGCTGCTGGATGGCTCAGACTGACACGGATTGCTATCCTTGATTGCGATGAATACATCGGTACTTCATTTGTTCCTTTTGAGCAGATCAAAGATGGTGCGTCCGTGAAATAGCTAATGTTCTATCTGATCCACTCTGAACTTCATCAACGTTGTGTTCGTCTGTCACGCACGTCCGTCTCGTAGAAAATGCATATGCAGGTTTATGCATCAATGTGGAATGGCTCAAGATGCAGACATTGTCGACAAGAAGTCTTCCACGATATGGACCAGCTCTGGTAAGTCTGAATCGGCGTGAGTTCGAATCAACAGCAACACTGCAGCTCCAGGGCGTGTTATCTGTCCCCTGAAATAACACTGTTTGTAGCGAATAATAATATCTGAGCGTAGCTCGATCTGGACTACTTCACGTGAAGGGGACGAGGTGGTTCAAATGTTTCTGTCGCACGCGAATTTGTGGAGAACAGGTTCGTAGCAGGAACGCAAGTGGACTCTCCCTCCTCCCCCCTGGACTCTCTATCCTCGAAAGCCTTACTGTCACCCATCTGCGCTCCCTCGGTGTTCTTTCACACGACTATCCGGCTCGCAATGTTCCTGACCGTTTTCCACCTGTTCATGGCGTTTATGGTCTCAATGCTCGTCGTCCCGGTCGACGATATCTCTCACTCGCTGGTTCAAAGAAGTCTCGCCCCAGTGGATACTGTCAAGGGCTTGCTGACTGGTTTCCTACCTGGCGTTCCATCCGACTCTGTCCAGGAAGAAATATTCCCTGTGGATTTTGTCGCGGTGATTCCCGCCGTTATCCAGGCGGGCGACATCTCTGAAGACCCAAACAACGGTGCTGAATGCTATCGATGGGCTGATCCATTCCAGTCTCTCAAGGGTCTTCTACTGGACGAGGACGACATGCTTCCTATGGATGGACTAGGCCTCCTATACGTGTTTGCGAACGAATCGGTATCCTGGCTCTTTGTATGCTCGTGGACACACGTAAAACACGTCTGCTCTTCGGTGCTACCCCTGGTCATGCGAAACCTGTTCCAAAGGGCTCAAGTTTACACGACGATCGAGACATTGCAAGATATTTTGGCTGGTTGCTTCTTCACTCCGGTTATTATGCTGGTGGTCTGCATAAGCCTTATAACTTGGAAGACCGTCGCGACGTTTCGTCGTTCACAACTAAGTCAGGTCGTGCGATTGCGATCTCTAGGGTACTTCTTGCCCTTGGACTCGCGGAGGACGGTCTTCGTGAGTGACACGCACTTCCGAGTGCGTAGAGCTGGTGCTGACCATCGTTCTCCTTCAACAGCAGCAAAGTAGCGGTATCTCTCGCACCGACCTGGTCGAAACCGAGGAGCTAAGTGCGGCCACTGCCACTGACTCGGACGTCTCTGGAGAACTCAGTATCTCGGAGGCCGATAGCGTGCACCATGAGGACGCAAACACTTGCTCGGAGGATGTCGCAAAGAATGACTCCGTACCATTGTCCTTCGGCGAAGCTTTGGAAAACCAAAACCATGCTCGTACGATACGCGGTCAAGTCATGAAATCGGTCCTTTCCGGTGCTGTCCAGAAGCGGATAGACAAGGCTCCCGTTTCAAACAGGAAGGAAAGACGCTCTGCCTTATCCAACGCCACGAACTCTCTACCTATACAGAAGACTCCCGTAGCCGTCGCGGAGAAGAAACCAGTCGAAACCGTGAAGAAACCACGGACGAGAGGGATTCGCGCTGGCCGCTCGGTGGCCTACAAGAAAGAATGGTGCGCTCTCCGCAGGTCGGCTGCTTCCGCCAAGTTCTCCTGCAGTACTGGTGACTCTGGCCATGTCCCTGGGGTTCAGGAGTCTTTGCTTACTTGAATGGCTGCGTCCGTGCTTCATCTGGCTTGGCTCTCAACACATACCTCTAGATTTTATTTTTCTCTTCCGTATGCAGATAGTTTATACTACCCTGTCTCATCACTAGTGTACGTTTAGCTTGATTGCAACATACCGAGGCATCAGTGCACTTTTCGTGTATAATTCCTGCCATGATCGGCTCGATTCTATCGTCGGTAAATCCGGCCCGCGTCTCCGTTGCTGCAAAGTGCATGCACTGGCTGACATCATGTTCAATCTGTCCGATCCGATGTTTCGCCTTCCCTCACTTCCAGTTTCTTGCTTCCCCAAGTCCCCTCTGCGCAGCTGGAGACAGCAAGTCTCGCTCTGCGGATAGCAGGTATAAATCCAAGCTCTGCTGCGAAGCTGAAAGCGCTAAAATACTGTTATTATGCTAGAGCCCCACTTACTCAGCAGGATCAGTGCGTGTCAGCGCTAGCAGTAAACCAAAGTATAGTGCGTATCCTGCAATACACGTATGCCAGAATGTACCTCGCAGTGTTAATTTGGGTCATCCTTTATAGTCTTGCTTTTCCTTGCCGGTACCCATTCGATCACACGTCTACAGTCATCATGTCCGACGCACCTCATCCGAAGGAGAACCATCCTATGCTCATCGTCGTCATGGTGGGTCCCTCCTTTCGAGACGCGACGCTGCCATTGACACGAACCCCCAGGGCGTCTGCGGCACCGGCAAAACGACCCTCGCCACGGCGCTCTCCAAGCACCTGGGCATGCCCTACATCGAGGGCGACGACCTGCACCCGAAGGCGAACATCGACAAGATGGCGGCGGGGCACCCGCTGAACGACGCTGACCGCGAGCCGTGGCTGGAGCTCATCCGCACGACGACGGAGCACGTCGCGGTCGAGCAGGAGACGGACGCAGCGCACAAGGGCCGCCGCGGGATCGTGGTTACGTGCTCGGCGCTGAAGAAGTATTATCGGGATATACTGAGGGGGACGTATAAGCCGAAGTCGGTGCCGGACCATCTCGACCCGCCGCATCCGAATACATTGCCTACGTATTTCGTGTTCATCAAGGGCGATAGGGAGTTGCTGAAGGACAGGATGGAGAAGCGGAAGGGGCATTATATGAAGGTGGGTATGTTGGATAGTCAGCTGGCGACGCTGGAGAGCCCTGAGGGGGAGGACGGGGTGGTCGTGGTGGATGCCGCGGACACGACTGAGAAGCAGATGGAGGACGCGCTGGAACAGTTGACCAAGCTTGCCGGACCGTTATAGCACTGCTTGGGGGAAGTAAATTTATTGTTATGTATATTATGTCGCAGAGGATACAATTCGCTATGTCACGACTGTCGACTTGTCGAGATGTCACTGTCATGAAGCACATCTCAGGCCGTGACACCTGTCCCCTTCAGCCATGTACGCGACGCGCACCGACGGACCCCTCCCCCACGAGCTCATTCTATCTCTCCAGCGCGTGCTGAACATCCAGGAAGCCGAGGATGACCCGCTTAACGCGCTCGCCGACGACTTCAACCCGGTGCAAGTGCTCAACTCGTACTTTCCGGACGGTTCGTGAAGCGTACAGGTCAAGTAACAACAGGGAGGTATTGACAATGGGTTGGGGTAGAGGCGTCGCTGGCGAAGATAGAAAGCGTGCAAGCTAAACTCGCCCAGGATGAGGAACAACTGCAGAGGGAGATCGACGCGCTGCATGAGCAGCTGCGCAGGGATCAGAATCCGAGGAGGATGCAACTCATCCAGGAGATGATTTCAGTGAGTGTCTGCAGTCTACCTCTCAATCCGTGCGCCAATTGCGATGCTGCTACTGTCAGGATCTGCTGGGACAAATGTCCCGCATTCGCGAAAAGGCCGCAGAGTCCGAAGCAGTGGTCAGGGATATCACAAAGGACATACAAGTCCTCGACCTCGCGAAGAAGAATCTCATACTGAGCATGACGACATTGAAGCGGCTGCAGATGCTCGGTTCGTGTTTGTACTCTTTAGATTGCCCCCAGTCCTCACGAGACAATCCATGCTTAGTGAATGCGCTCAATCAACTGGAGGAGCAGGTCGCCGAGAAGAGATATGATGAGATAGTCAACAGCTTAGGCGTGAGTCCTCCTTCGCTCGTGCATACACTATATGCCCAATACTTGTCTTAACTACAGGCAGTGAAGGAGATCTCGGCAACTTTCAAGTCGTACACCTCCATCCAGCGTATATCTCAAATATGGAGACGCATCCAAGAAATTCAAGGCGACCTCCGAACCAAGATCGACAAAGACTTCGAGGCATTGTACGTCCCCATCCTCCTACCCGCGTGCCTACTCACCCCCATTCCCTCCCAGCCACATGCACACCTCCGCCTCCCCCTCGCACCAAACCCTCTACGCCGCCTGCCTCTGCGCCGACCTCCTCGGCCCCGACGTCCGCGCGCAGCTCGTCGACCGCTACGTTGCGCTCCAGCTGCGCGAGTACCGCCGCATCTTCAAGGCGACGGACGAGGCGGGCGGGCTTGACAACGTCGAGCGGCGCTTCCGCTGGTTCGGGCGCGTGCTGCAGGGGCACGACGCGGAGGCGGCCGGCGCGTGGCCCGAGGAGTGGCGTGTCGGCTGGGCGCTCGTGGCGAAGTTTGTCGACTTTACGAGGTAAGTGCGCTGGGGTATGCGGGAGGGTATATGCGCAGTGTTGATTGATATTGGGTACGTGGTAAGGGAGGATATGGTGGGCCTGCTGTCGAAGGCAGGGTCGGCTCTAGACGTGAAGTTGCTCCTGGATACGCTACAGCAGACGCTCGACTTTGAGGCGTCGATGGCGAGGAAGCTCGGTGCCCCGGTTGGTCTGTTCGTCTTCCAGGTACAGGCTGGGACGCTGACGATCAATAGCTCAAGGAGATCCTCGAGGCGTCGTCGCCCTCGTCCTCCCGCCCGATCAGGCCAATCTCCTCGGCATTCGAGCCGCACCTGGGCGTATTCGTAGACGCGCAAGACAAGTACGCATTTGTTCTCTGTCTCCTGTGTACAGTTAGTCTCATGATTTATCTGCACAGGGCGATCGCGAACATGCTTGCCCCGCATCTGGCCTCCAAGTCCGCTAAACCCCGCCTCTCGATTGACACTGCGTCTGCCTCTGAGCACGGCGACGAAGCCGAGGCGCCTCCAGTCGTAGTCCTGCCGTCGTCGACGGAGCTGTTTTACGTCTATCGGCAGAGCCTCGAGGCGTGTGCGAAGTTGTCCACCGGGAAGACGCTGTACGACTTGGGAGAGGTGCTGAAGAAGTGGTTGAGGACGTATGCTGGTTAGTTCCAATTTCTCTCTGGTTTAGGTTAGTGCGTGGGGCTTACGCAACGACTAGAGGACGTGTTGATTGCGGGCTTGAAAAAGTGGGTGTCCCTTATTCCGCATATCGTGGGCTATTTTAATGGATACATTGCAGACCTCCTACTCAGCCTCGCAAGTCCACGGAAACGCGGTACGACGCGAACGAGTTGAAGAACGCCTGCATGCTCATCAACACTGCGGATTACTGCCAACGGACAGCGGCAGAGGTACGTCGCTCTTGATATGATCTCGACAATGTACCATGCCAACTGACTGTCGCGTAGCTCGGAGAGACTATACGGGAGAAGATCAATGACGACTTCAAGGAGAAGATCACGTTCCAGGCTGAACAAGACATCTTCGTCAGGTACCAATCTTCACATTATCGTGTAGACTGATGCTGACGATGGCCGCCTAGTGTTGTTTCAGCGGCCATAGCAGTCCTGCTCAGGGAACTGGAAGCAGCCTGCGAGCCCTCGTTCTTGACTATGACCCGGACGTCTTGGGCGAACTTGAACCAGGTGTCCGGACAATCGCCTTACGTGCCTGACTTAGTCAATGCGATAGAGCAGGTCGTCGACATGGTCAAGCCTATGGTGGAGCAGAAGAAATACTTCCGGAATTTCTTAGACAAAGCTTCGAGGTGAGTCGCGCTGTCCTACCAAACGTAACATGGTTATTTGACGGATCGTTGCCACCTCGATAGTCTTATTCTGACACGGTTTACCAATGCACTCGTTAAGAGCAGGCCGTTGAAGGAGATAGGCGCCGAGCAGGTAATGAGTCAGCCCTGATATTTTGAGTTGCTAGTGACTGAGTCTTTACTACTGTAGTTGCTGATAGACTTGCAGGCAGTCAAAGCTTCACTGCTGAAATACGCCGGCGATTCGTCATCCAGGTACGCTATTTCTGTCCAATCGGTATATCGGAATTCTCAGTCAGCTACAGTTATGCTCGGAGCGTCACGAAGAGCACCACGAGGCTGGAAGCGCTTCTGAAGGTCATCGTAACACCCATCGTACGTTCCACGGCTTGTCATTTCCATGAACTCGGAACTAATCGCCACTCAGGATCCTGCGGATGGTTTTATTTTGAATTACATTCTACAGATCGGCGACGACTCCTTCTCCAACTTCCAGAAAGTAATATTAATCTCCATCATATCTCGAGATCTTTCTGACATATCCTTTCCTAGATTCTGGATCTGAAAGGTACGCCGAAGACCGAACAGAACAGTTTGTTGGACACCTTTGTCACCACGACGAGCACCAAACGGGACCTGGAAAGCACCTCTTTCCTGTCTTCCCTTGATATGGATCCACCTGCGGCGTCCCAAACAGCCAGCCTGATGAGCCCCAGCGGTAGCCGCATAAACCTGCCCAGCTTGCTAGTGGGGAAGGACGGGCTCTCCGGTCTAGGATCCCCTCCATTGCCAAGCCCTGTCCCCAGCATCGAGTCTCAACCGAAGCCGGAAGGCACGCCCCAAAAGCGCGACGTCTTCATGGATGTCAGGCGTCTTGTCAGTTTCGGTTTGAGAAGAGATACCGCGCCTCCCTCCTGAGTACCACGTAATGGGTGGGAAATGAGTAGCGACATGCTGGCGAGGCCAGGCAATGATTATCCTCGTTATTATACAATAACCCCAATACTCCCCGGATTAATGCCGTTTTCTGCCCTAATACACCGTTCGGATATTGGATGCGCGGCTAGCTAGATTGTATTGTAAAGATACAAGATGCGGTGAGCACGATATCAATGCAGTGTGGTATATGTTACAAGTCCTTGATCCCGGATGCCGTACACCCAGAGAAGAGTTGGTTCGTAGGGAAAGACGTGGGCAATTCGTGAGCTGGCATCGGGGTCAGTAACAGGAGCATAGTTCGTGGACTGTTTCGAAGGAAGGAGGTCGCTGCGCCAAGCAAACCTCTGGTACTGATGGTTAGGACGAGCCATCGGGAATGCCTAATCGTAGATGCAAAGAAATATAGCACTGAGTTCGGGCACATGCACGCAATGCCACATTGGCGATGGCTACCGCGGTCTAATCATGCCCGGGACGTATCCGGCCGGCTTCCCAGATGATGAGCTAGGTCGGGGACCCTGCGGTCGAGCTTGGGTAGACGTCGAGCCTCCCGGTGCTCTCCCGAGCAGTTTCTGCGCAATTAAGGGCGGGGTGGCAAACATGTTTGTGGAAGATGGCGTCGGAGGCAACGGGGGATGGGGAGGTCGGTGAGAGCCGCTCGTGCGTCTGGAAGGGCTTACATCCGAGTCACCGTCATCCGGATGACGGAACTGGATGTCGGACACTGACATAGGTATACTGTCCGTTGGAGAGTTGATTTCCGACAGGCGCCTCGATTCTCGGCGAGAGGGGAGAGGCGGGGTGGGTTCAGTAACAATACCGAGGGTTGGATGTCTATTGTCGGCTGGGACGGGGAGGGAAGCGCGGTTAGGTGGTTGGGAAGCGACTGACTCTCTGTTACTAGGCATATGCTCTGTGGCATATAGTGAAGATGGCTGCGAATGGGAGGTGGCAGCAGAATGGGAGGATATCTCAGAACGATGCTTCCGACTTGAAGACGAAGAGGAAGAAAAATCCAGAAACGAGAAAACTTGATCGCGAGCCCGCCGGAGCGACGACGCTGAGGCCCGCAGTTGGGCCGGCTGCTCAACAGTCACCTGCGGAACATCTGGAACCTGGGCAGAAGGCGCGGTAGGTGGCTGAGACGACGGCCTGGATTTCCCGTTGATTGTCCGGGGAAACGAGACCCTGAAAGGACTGACATTCCTGACCGACAAATATTCCTCTTCTTGCTGGCGCATCTCGTCCGAGAGATGGCTGTCCACCAGGCTACCACCGGTACTGTCTCTGACATTCGCATACGCGTGCCGCCCCATAGAGTGTGGCGTGACCGCTAGAGGAATGTCACCGGAATAAGCGACTTGCGATGGCGTCGGGAACTCTTTTGACCGCCTCGAGACCACCGAAACCGGGAAATCGGGCGAGTTCCGATCATCGTGAGCATTATCCCCTTCGACTTCCTGTATTTGCGCATCGAATGCAAGGAGGCCACCCCTGCTGCTGTCTCGGGTATGGTGGTGAGGGGCCGGCGAGAGTGGCGGTGTCGGCCTCGAGATATCGATGACGTCGGAGTACCGGGCTGCACTATTCCGTTGGGAGTGTGGCGCGTACTCTCTCGGCGGCCTCGGGAACTGCCAGTTGGGGGACAGCCGCCCGCCCATGGTGAAACTCATGTACGACGGCTTCCGGAGCGTCGCTTCGCTCATCGGCCGGGACAGCGCCTCGGGTGGCGTCTTGATACCGTATCCGTAGTCAGAGCCGATGTCGGGGCGGATGTCGACGAAGTCTGGGGGTCCGCGTTTTCGGGAGAAAGGCGAGAACAGGTTCATCGCGCGGCAACGCTTGTTGTGGAGGAGGGCGCGCCGCCGCCTCCAGAGGACGAGCATGACAAGAATGATGAGGATCAGGAAAGCGATCGCAGATGCTGTCGCGAGCCCGATTATCGTTCCTCGTGGATAGCCTCTTGATGACGAGAGACTTCCGCTACCTCCGCAGGATCTATGAATGAATTTCAAATTCGACAGTGCAAGAGGGGCAGACATTGAGCCGTTAGAATGAGCAGCAGAGTGAGCTTGATGGCCATAACTTACCTGCAGCCTCCGGAGACGGTCGTGACATTTACAGATCCTATGGCCAAAGTGCGAGCATCGGCGTTCGTAAACGTCAAAGTGTGAGACATCGAGGGATTGAGCCCCGTCGCGTAGAACAGCAACGCGGGTTCAGTGAAGGAGGACTGGCCGTCGAACGAGGTGGTGGTGCCGTCTAGAGTAACATTATATCTGCCAGACCCGTCATTCCGGAACCCCGAGACAGTAATGGCGCTCCCTGCATATTAACGAAAGTGACAGGTGCACGTGTATCAGTGCATCACGACATACGGCAAGTTCTGCACAGGCACAGAGGACTAACCGCTGAAATTTAGTGTCGCAGTATCTCCGGCGGCGTTCGAAACGTAAAATGGGAACTGCTCGCCCCGGACTACCGGCGTGAACTGATAACCCCATGAACCGGAGAAAGTTATAGAATGTATGTCAACAGCTACTGCCGCTACAGTAGCGCTACGATCACGAACAGACACTAACATGAATAGCAGAGTGGATGCGATATGGAGAGACGCACTTGATTAGGTCGGTCGACGTAGTTATGAATGCGCTATCAAAGGATAGACCAGCAGTAGGTGAACCAATGCGTGTCCGAAGGGTTATATTGTGATCCGCATTTGGCAAATTGCTGAACTCTGCCAGGATATTCTGTTCCAACGATGAATTGAACGACGACTGTGACGTTCCATCGAGCAAGATGTCGTACGTGGCATCGGACAGATTGCCAAAGAGCTGGATGCCATTCCCTAGACATGCCAAAGTCTTACGGCAGGCAGACGCAAGGGTGATCGGAGTACGCACCAAACCACAGGATGGACAGAGTCGCGCCGTCTCTGGACGTCGTGTGCAGGCTCTCGCCGCTCCCCACTTCCCCCAGGCTCGTGAGCGTCGCGTTGGAGAACGAGGGTGTCCAGCCGCCTAGCACGTCCGGGGGAACGGTGAGAGAGTCGGGGTAAGGCAGGTAGGAGACGGTGGGGGACGAGTCATCGATCTGTAGGTCGATGGTTGTGTTGCCCGCCATGCGTCTCCCGCGGAAACGCTGGTCGATGTCGGGGGAGAAGGAAAGGAGGGAGCGCCAGGCCGGGTGAAAGCGAAACGCGGACTACACGCCGCGGGATGAACGGGCAGATAAGAACAGACTGACAGAAGCTACACTCCAGTGCAAATTCCCTTTAGTAATATAAAAAAGAAATGAGGCGCCTGACCCGGGCGGATTCGGTCCTAAATGGCCACCTTACGAGGGTTTTAACAGGCTGCTATAGTTGCTGAATTCTCCCATCGCCATGTCGACTCGCAATCCGCATTTATCCCCTTTTCCGACTGACCGTCGGCCATCATACGCGTGCCCTCTTTCCTCATGGTGCGCGCTCTCACCACCGTGTCCTCGATTTACAGCTCGTTCGCAAGGGGGTGAGTAATGGGTATCGTATGTCTTACGACTCCCCATCTAAGCGTCCTCAGTCATAATTAAATCAGTTACGCGAGATTTGAGATCAGACACGCCTGTGTTCTTCAGCGGCTGAGTTGCCGCGTTGCCACAGGCGCCTGCCACAAGCAGGGCAGACTGTGGCCGCTAGTCCTTGCTTTTACTTCCCCTACCAGTGGTCAGACTCAGAATCAGGGCGGGTCCAATAGACTACTGATATCTGCAGACCCCTTTAAGCAGCCATCATCAGTGGCGGTGGATACCAGTCTGCGCAGCGGCCCGCCATACCTGCTCGCCACTACCATCAAGACTGGCTTACCTTCTACGTCCTACTGCACCATACGGGTTCTCATAGGCTACGAGTCACTGCTAGCGGAAGTCAGATGGCCAGCCCCGCATCGCCCCCAGGGACTTCGGACTACTTTCCTGATCTCTTGGCTAGGCTCAGGGCGGCTGCGCCCTCTCTTCCTTTAGAGCCAGTCGTATTTCAATCGCTGCTCCTGTGTCTTGCGGCTGGCGACAAGAACCTGATCCTCCGCACGCATGAAGAGGATATCAGCGTTGTACAGAAGATAGCTGTCTCGGTGAGTCGAGAGATTTTGACACAACCTGCGAAAGCGCTGTCATCTATAGGGCTCGAGATGCCGCTTTCGTTAGCGGCATATCAAGTCGCTATTGACGGGACTCCAAGAGGCGCAAACATAAGGTTGGGCGCTTCCCCTCGCATGCTACAGGCCCGCAGTCTTGCCATATATGGTGGCTAGCATGGCGACATGCCCTGCACCACGTAGCTGGCCTCCGAGTCCGTTTTCGCCCCATAAATTACGCTGAGACTGCTAGTTCTGCGATGTATGCTGTGTTACCCATAGTCTCAGCACTATTCTGGTGCAGCATACGAGTAGCCTGATGGTTGCGCTTTGGATTATAAACTTAGGCCGGATCCATTGCTATTGCTGTCTATTGTATCTTGACGCAGAGATGGCAGTTCGTCTAGCTCTTTGACGCCTAGTCTCACCGAAGCACATACTTCGTGCTGATGGTGATATTACGGCCTGAAATAGGTATCTGTACCTATCTAACTGCCGTTCCATCTTCATATCGCACCTTGACTCCTTCCGAGCATTGTTGGCGCGGACGTGGTGCTATACCTCGTTTGCGTCACTAGCTTGACTCGTTACAAGCAGTCATGCTACAACGTCCTGCGTCTCGGAAGTTCTTGATCATTGGCCCTTCAGAACTACTCACCTTTATTTTGGGCTCTAATACGTGCCTGTCTTATCCTCGCAGATCCTCACCGCCGTCTTCGGGTATACAACACAGAAAGTCAAGTGCAAATCCAGACAGCCCCCGGGGGACTTCCTGCGCTCCCTCTTCCTCCCACAGCCGTCGGCATCCGCTTCATCTCGGAAGAAACGGTCCAGCTCCCGCAAATCACACAGCACGATCACATCCGGTTCTTTCCTCCCTCGCTCCTCGTCCAATGCGAGCGAGCTGGCCGCGTCCGGGTCCAATGTGATCAACCCTTTCGCAGATTACAACAACTACAGTAATACACCGACTACGACGTCTTCGTCGCCGTTGCTAAGCCCGGTACGGGTTCGAGATGAACAGCACTCCGAGTTCTCGTTCAATACAACGCCGGACACAGTCCGGAGGCGGGCGAAAGGCCGGCCCCCTCTCGCTCAAGCCCTCGCGGACAGCGACTCTGGCATCGTACCTACTCCATCGACGTTCGCTCTGTCCACTCTACCTAGGGCTGTGGTGATCTCAGGCCTGGAGCATGTCGGCGTTCCTGCCCAGAGGGCGTTCTTGCAGATGCTGGCCGACAAACGCCTTGTTATAGACGAAGACGGAGGCGAAGTGTGGAATCTGCCCACTGACTTCATTGTGGTCTATGTTTGCCCGTGGGATGAGCGGGAGCGTCCGGCGATTCACAATGGCCTGGTGGGTTGTTCACGCTTCCTCCACTAGTTCGGATCCCAGCTGATGCCTGACGAACCACGGCAGCTAGACAGATTCGCAATGAGTGCTAATATAGCTCTTACAAGCAGCATTCGGGAATCTATCCTATCCCACCATTCGCGATCGCGCTCCGACCTGAATTTACCTGGGACTGCTGCCAGGACAGGACTAATGTCATCATCGGAACTGAAATATCTTCGTGAACTCGCGGAAGATCGAACGCTCGTTCACCTTCACCCGGCTCTGTCACTGTACGTGGCCGACCTCTTCGCCGCCACTAGACACCACCCGGAACTGGACGGGACTATGCTAACGAGGCGGGCGCACATCGACGTCGAGGACCTCGTACGCGCCTACCGAGTCATATTCGGAGATAGCACTGGCACCGATTTAATACGACTCGCCACCCTGGACGAATTGCAAGGCAGGCATTCGCATACCCGGTCCAGGCAACTCTCCGCTTCGACGAGGACGGAGAATTATGAGAGTGAGATCGACGACATGACAACCGTGCGAGTGAGCTGGGAGTGGAAGGAAGGTGATGGTGGCGATGATCCAGATGCCCCGCGCAAGCTGCGCGGGGGATGTCACCTAGAACCGAACCCGGATCGTGAGGACGATCCTCTTGACATCGAGGATCAGGAGCAGGGAGATCAGGAGGTGATGGACATATCGGAGGTGGATGTCGCGAAGGTCGTGCCAAGAGTGGTGTCCCACCGAGTGCGCGTTCGCGATGGCCCTCGGGACGAGGTTCTGGGGAACGTCATGTTCTGCGCGGTCGGGCCGCCTCCCACGTATAAGCCTCCGGAAGAGGATTTAGAGTGGGAGAGAAGGACTGTAAAAGACATCATTGTGGAGGTATTAGCTGACGTTTAACTGGCATGGCGGGCGCGACTGCGCGTCTCGCCTCGAAATATGCAATGCTAGAATAGTTCACATACGGGTCCACTACTGTGTGGACGGATAATAATAGTTGCCAAGGTTACGGAGATTTCTCTTCGAGTTTCTCGTTTCCGCGAAATACGACATGTCCGACATCTCTTTCGAAGAAAGGTGGCAAGCGAGGGGCCACAGTCCTGCGTCCTTTCTTACCCTTGGCGGGCGATGACTCGCCATGTTCCTGTACGCGTTCTGGGAGGACGTTCATAGTTTGGTCGTCCCCGGTAGCTGGTTGTTCTCCTCCTGGTTGGGAGCTTGATCCACCCTGCTCTTGTGAGGAGATACCCGGTTCCGCTAGGAGCACTGGGGGCGCCGGTATCCGACGTGAAGTATGGCATGTCGAACATGTGTATGTTACGATATGGCCGTGAGACGAAGACGCTGGAGAATGCGACATGCGAACGCGCGCTCGGGCTCAGATATTCCGAGGGATATAACATATAACGTACACTTAACGCGCACTGTGGCCGATGTGCCCGGTATGAGAACCGAGTTGCACGATTTACAAAGCGTCCTTTTGACAGAGGGATCCCTGACATACGCGAGGTGCCCGTGAACATGAGGCTCGAGGGAAGGAAAGCTTGAGCGACGTCACGTACATTTTGACGACCGTTCTCTGGCCGACGGATTTCATCGTATCGATGTATGTCCGGGCCAGGTCGAATGAGGATACTCTCGACTTTCGTATGTCATCGTGTTTGACATTTCTCTTTCTCTTGCTTCTCTTCTGTGGACGACCAGAGGAGGGAGTCGCACGACTAGACGGCTCACCGGGGAGAGTGCTGAGATACACGCCTGCTTGGTAAAGGAAATTCAGGCGCTGTAGGATATCCCTGTTGCTAATGCTGTTCGGGTTGGGAGCTTCGTCCTTTGTCTTTTTCGCCATGAAGTGGTGGTGGATCGAATACAAGTTACATAAAGGGATATGACTAAACTCGAATCCTGTGGGCGCATGTATGGAATGCTTCCCCCAGGACATCACGCTCTATCGTCTGAAATCCGAAGCATTTCCTTTCTCCGGAACAGCTATAGCTAAAGCTCTATCACTGTGCAGGCCGATTCAGGCGGTCTCAGCTTACTATGCGGACTACCCGGGCCCTGTACGGACGCTCCATATTGGTCTTACGACTTGTGCCCAGGGAGATATCATAGAATACATACATACACTGCAGTTACACCATACACGCCATCCTAGTCATCAAGAGTCCATGAATTGTCCTTTATGAGCTTCTCTCGTTCCAGCAAGTACTTCCCTATGGCGAGCGTCAAGTGAGACAGGTCAACAAAGCCGACGTGACTGACCTTCCTTGTACTTCTGGGACTGGTCTGCTGCCTTGTGATAAAACCACCCGAGCCGGTCATTGCAGCCTACGCAAAAGACGTCGGCGACGGTATGCACGCCCGTTCTATGTATCAATGTAGAGAATTCGTGAGCTAGTACTGCTTGAGATAGGACAGATTAACGTACAGCAGATGCCTATCCTCCTTCTTTCCTAGCTTCACGTTAACGGCAGAGTGAATCAGACTTCAGAGCATGGTCGTCAGTTGCTCGACGAACGACAAGACTTGCTGGCTCACTATCCTCTCCCTTCCCTCCCAGAGAAGTGCTTGCTGATGAGCTCATCTTGGAGAGTCTGACGAACGCAGATACCTCAGAAGGCAGCTCTCATCGTCCTGGGCTAGACGCACTATGACTGCCGCACACTGAGAACAAGAGAAGTTAGGGCGTCCTTGGTAAACCGTGATAACGTCTTGCTTAGTATCAGACGTAGGAGAGGCCATGATGAAGACGCATATTTGCTAAGCCTCCCAACCAAGAGACGTTTATGAGTAAAGCCATTGGCACAGAGCAGCCCGGATAAGGGCGGTATTTGTGGGTCCACATGGGTCCATATTTGGCCTGGTCTGCGCCACGGGCCATTTCCAGCTTCCAGGCCAGACTACTGGCATCGTACAGGTTTACGAACGCCAACCTCCTCCCTGCGACCTTCTTATTCTCTACGACATCTCGCCGAGTATACCAGCCATGGACCACGGAGACCACGGTGGGCACCATATGCCTATGTGTTCAATGAACATGCTCTGGTGAGCTTTGCACGGATCTGGCCCATAGGAACAGGCTGATTCCATTCACAGGAATACACAAATCGAGGACACCTGCATCGTATTCCCCGAATGGCACATCTACACCAAGGGCCAGTTTGTCCTGTCGTTCATAGCCATAGTCGCGCTGGGCGTGCTCTACGAATGGTTACGCGAGTTCCAGAAGACGCTCGACCGCAGGATAGCGCTGTCGTTGGCGCAGCAGAGTAAAGGGAAGGGAAGGAGTAGTGGCAGGAACACGCCGGACGGGGAGCTGGAGGAGACGGGCCTGCTGTCTGGCAGGCGGTTGCTGAAGAAAGCGGGGTGTGTGCTTGACGTATCCGTCACTACTGATCTGTGCTGACGGTGTGCTTACAGGACTCCTGTACCTGCCATCCCAAGAGTCCTCCGTGCTGCTACATATGGCTTGACTGTCTTCCTCTCGTTCTTCCTCATGTTGGTATTCATGACTTACAACGTGAGTCCATCCTATGCATCCCACGTATACAGAGCGCTCAGTCACTGGATGCAGGCTTACTTGATTGTTGCTGTTGTGCTTGGAGCAGCGGCTGGGAACTACATCTTCAGCTCTCACATGGACGTGGACAGTGTCTTATCAGGAGCCAACGCTGGCAAGGGTATGGCTTGCCATTGATGCGCGGCGTTGTGCGTGCAATCAGGTTATTGTGGAATCATCTTTCTTTGTACTTCTGCAGTATATTTGGGAACATTATGCTGGATCTCACCTCGGTCACGAACACGACCATATCATCCGCAATCATATCCGGATCAGCCAGAGCACGTTGGAAGGATGGGAAGAAGTACGGTAGTATACAGTCCAAAGCAGCGACATCAGGTACTGCTCATCTCGGTATCCTCATCTTTCTTTGCTAGATCATGACGTTGTAGTAAAGCATCGATCTCGGCGGGCTTGTAAATCTTGGCCTTCGGTTGCTTGGTGTTCCGGTCCAAAGTCAAGACGGCGAACTCAACTGCAGGAGGACAGACATGAGCGAGCCATGACCACGGAAGATAGTACTGCCACTCACGCTTTTCGCTACCCAATGTCGTACTGTCCATCGTCTTGCTCATCACTCGAAGCACCAGCCCGATCGCCTCCTCCACCGTAATCTCATCCTTGTACTCCTGCTTCAGTAAACTCTGAGCTGTGCCATTGTTCGCCCCAATGCACGTTGCTTTCCAGCCAGAGTAGTTGCCTGAAGGATCGGAGTGGTAGAGCTGGAACTCGTAGTGCGGGTCGTACCCTGCATAGAGCAACGACACCCCGAACGGTCGGAGACCACCGAACTGCGTGTACCCCTGCTTCATGTCGCAGAGTCGCTGGGCGAGCATTTCAACGGGGATGTCCTCGTTGTATGTAAAGAGGTGACGTTGCGCGGCGGTACGGGCGTAGTTGACGAGTGAGTTCGCGTCGGCGGTGATACCGGCAACACCAGCTATGACATTTCTGAGCATGATTGTCAGGATAATGTACGGGTTTGTAGGGTATAGCCACTCACGAGTTTAAGAGAAAGATCTTCTCCCCGCTGCCCCCATACCCTCCTTCCTTCGCGCCCGACATATCCAAGAGCTTCCCTGTAACCTTTTTCTCGGCCGCAAGGACTACGCCGTCCTTTGCTAGAACGCCGAGGACTGTTCCTGCGTGCGAGATGGCTTCCATGGCGTACTCGACTGCATGGGATCGTGAGATGGGCATTCACTTGCGACACCATGGATAAGCTTACTTTGGTAGAGACGCCCTGAAAAAATTATAAGCATGTATAGTCAGTGTACCGGATCTCCAGCACGTACCTTCAGGCGAGAATATCGTTGTTCGACCTAAATCCGAGCGTAAGCCTCCCACATCCTGCCCTCCTAGAGTCACGTACTGTCATAACGGCGTGCCTAATGCGCAGTGCGGTCAGCCCAATGCATCAAATAGCGTAGACACAACTCACCATGGTTCACTGGGTGCAAGGGGTTCGAGGGAGAGTTGTGGATTCGGGTATTGGAACGGTAGCGTACTGCACTGACGCGTCTCAATGAAGCAGACGCGTCCAGCAATCGGACTTTGCCGCACCTATTGCCGCAGGCAAGTCATGATCAGAGCACATCAGGCCACAAACATTCGAAGATCACAGCTTCAGCGGCGGTGAAATAGAGGGTGGCAATATTCGCAGGTTTGCTCCAGTGCTCATACTCTGCACTCCCGATTTAAGTCCGAAAGCAAGTTGCTACTGCTACTGCCAGCACCAGACTTTCTGCTAGGTACCACTTCCTTCTCCACCTCTAGCGAGGTCATCCTTCGCCTTTTGCACCTCGAGCTTCTCCATGACTGCCTTCAGCAAGCTCGAATCCTTCCCTCTCTTGCCCGTCGACGCAGAGGCTTTCGCCTTCCCCTTCCCCACTACAGGAGATTGGCTGACCGCCGGATCTGACGAAGGAGCTGGCGGAGGCATCTCTTCCTTCCTTGTCAGGTGTGAAGGCACGATAATCGGTGTGGGCCGAGGTGGTGGGGGCCACTACATTTTGATGGATTATGACTCTCCCGTGAACGATGGAACCTATGGGGGAACGACTTACACCACGGTGAGGCTGATTGAAGTGCAGGGCCGCCCACGGAGGGTACTCCTTCTCAAGACGTATAATGTGATCTTCGAGGAACCTGATCCGGTCAAGGAAGGAATGTGGTATTGCGGGTACTGGAAAGGATCAGGGCAGGCTCGCATACCAGGATCGATAACTTGACGGCTCACCATATCGCACGGAGAGGTGCGTCTCGATGTTCTTGATTCGCTCATCCAAACCTGGATATCGTTCAGGCGTAAGTTGGTCAACGGCATGTGAGTTAGTCCCTGTGGTTTGCCGAAGTTCCCCATTTGAAGCGGCCTCTTCGGTCTTGATGGTCTTCCGCAGAGGCCCTTCCTCATTCTTAGCAATATCATACTTCATTTGTAAATCTCTGTCGATCGTCTTCGCGTCCGTGCGAGCACACGAGGCAACCTGCTCCAGCTGATCGTGTGTGTGCGGACCATCTCCCAACAGTCGTCTGCGTTTTTCCGAAAGGGATTTTAGGAATTCGCGACGATTGGACGCATCATTCCTAGCACGATTCCTTGCCAGGAACACGGCGATCTCTTTGTTAATCTAGGAACAGTCGAGTCAGAGGTAGGACGGCTGGCGTGAGCAAACTCACTGACGTCGGTGTACGAGGTTCGTGACGGTTCGAGGGATGAATGTAATCGAGCTTTTTCTCCTCCAAAGGCCGCTTAGTAGGCTTCGAATCGTCGTGAGATTCAGATTGGAGTCGCTAAGAAGGTGCATTTGAATGGAGCACAATGTAAGTCGGGAAGTGTAATCACCGTTAACTCCTGGTGTAATTGTGCCAGAGCAGACGGTATCTCTTTCTCCTCGAAGTCCGGATTGAGGACCACCATATCCTTTTCAAATGCACGCAGGGTCTGTTTCAGACCCGCCCTCTCTAGAAAGGACTTGATAATCGCATCCCATTCTCGGTTGAACTTCGGGGGCGGGGGTGGGCTGGGTGATTTAGGCTTTACATCAGGTGCCGGCGCGGGTTGCTGAACCTGCTGAGGGTGAGGAATTTGCTGTAGAGTGGGAGGATATTGCTGCTGGTGTGGTTGTCCAGGTTGGTAGTAGGGCCAAGGACTCTGCCAAGTAGCCCCAGGATGGCTGTAGTACGGTCGCGCCTGCGAGTAGGGAGCTGAGGTAGCCGGTACATTTGTTTGGAATTGGGAAAAGCTGTACGTCTGGCTATTTCCAGAAGTAGCCTGTGGATTCACTTGCGGGGTGCCCGCGCGTGAAGGTCCCGCGTCTGAGGGAGGAGGACCCTGGGACATAGATGTGTATGACTTCATCTAAGGCGTGCAGCCCACAAGCTACTAGCAAACGTCCTACTCACATTTTGTTGTATATGGCTAGCCGGGGAGAATCCTCGCCAGCAATACAGCCCGGCTAGAATCTCCGTCCAGCAAGGAGAACAAGCAAAATCTCGCGTAAGGCAAAGTTAAAGCCTTGGGATACGCGAAGAAGTGATGTGGCTGTGGCAAAATGTGGCGGGATTCGCGTCCGGTCTTGAACGCGTACCGCGATCATATGCGTTGGGATAGATTCCCGCATTCGTCTTTTTGGACTACGCATCTCTGGACTACATATTGTCTGCGCTCAGTACTACAGAATGGATCTCAGTCGACAGCCAGCCAGCACGAAACTTGCATATTCAGTTGCAGGAGGCACCGAACACAGCAGTCGTTACGGTCCGGAGAACATCTTGGTCGACCGCCCCGAAGATGCATCAAGTAGATGGAGCACTGCGTACCATACTCCGAAAGTAAAACAATTCATCTTACTTCGACTGGAAACCCTCAGCGTTGTTAGTTGAGTGTCGAACGGATGATGGGCAGCATGGAATGTGATTGACATGAGATTGGTATGAATAGAGACCATAACTTTCGGGAAGGTACGGTAAATCCTCCTTGGACGTTCAATTCCTAATGACTGGTGAACGGTATGATAGTACTACAAACGTGAGCTGCTGTTGGTATATTTTGTCGCGCCTCTCTTGACATACCGCAGAGCACCCGTGTAATATGCGAGAATTCAAGGTCTATGTCGGTATGACGGAAGATCGCATGGTGGAGGCCCTGGATGGGGGCCTAAAGAATGACTCGTTCCCTGAGACGTTCCCACTCAAGCACACCAATGCCGCAGGCTTATGTTTCCCTGCCCGTTTCGTGAAGATAGTACCTCTGTCGTAAGTGACTTTCGTCCCATGTCGTGACTGCTTTATATACCTATGCTGCAGTGCCCACGGGCAGAGCTTCCATACGTCTATATGGTATGTTGCGCTTTCCGGCATCGCGGATCATGATTTTGTCGAGAGAGCTGGTACAGTGTACGAAGAAGTACGTGTGCATACTACCGTTACATTTTTACTCCGTACTTATGCTTTCCAGTACTTGGAGTCTGTGACCCTTCGACGGATACTCAAACACCTGCGTCAGCGCCGCCTTCTCACCCCATATCAATCTCTTCTATCTCGCGTCAACGTACAACTTGAACATCCGCTTGTCAGCAGGCTCTATGAACAGCTTGTGTTGCGTGGTGTCTTCCCCTCTCTCAATGATATCGTCCAGGCAATATCGGACGGGGGTCTCCTCGACTCATACTTGTACCTCTGCCAGCCCGGAGCCGTCTGGAAGCGCTTAGATGGGTGCGATGCAGATGGAGATAAGCCTAGCAAAAGGAGCGCCCATGCGATGTGTATGGACGAGGACAACGGCATGGTCTATCTACTTGGTGGGTGGGATGGCGAGGAGAACTTGGACGACTTCTGGGTATACGACGTCAAGGAAGACACCTGGAGGGTCCTCAGCCATAACACTTCAGAGGAGAAGAACGGCCCAGGGCGGAGAAGTTGCCATAAGATGGTTTTTGATAAGAAGACCGGATGTATATACGTTCTAGGGAGGATGGGCGACGAAGAGATGGGTGGCCAAGATGTCTCTGGCTCTTCTATATCAAATGGTGGCTCTTCGGGGAGTGCGTCCCAGCAGCCGCAGGAGACCTCGGGGTCATCACCGTGCTCAGAGTTCTACCGCTATCATACAAGGGGACTAGATATCGGGAAATGGGACTTGCTTTCATTTGACACAGCCGTGAGTGTGCCTCTCCTTCCACGGGGACGGTGGCTTAATCAGTTCTCCAGTCCGGAGGAGGACCACCTCTGATATTCGATCATCAAATGGCCATCGATTCGGAAATGCAGATGATTTACGTATTCGGCGGACGAGTCGTGGACCAGAAGAGTATCAAATACTCTGGCTTGTATAGCTATAATATTCGGACGAACAAGTGGAAGATGCTACAGTGAGTGACGTAGTTTCTCGCCTCGAATGTCACAGCTGATGAGCGCAGGTCTGTCGACAGTGCGAGGTCCTCTCATGAAGTTAGTATACCACCGCGCTCAGGTACGTTCTATGGTTTTATTCACGATGCTCATGGCAGTTACATTCGGGGTAGGACATTCAATGGTGCTGGAGCCTAACTCGAAGACCCTTATTATTTTCGCCGGTCAACGGGAAGAGAAGTACCTGTCGGATATGTACACCTATCATATCGAGACAGGTACTGTAACAGAAGTGTTCTCTGACTACACAATGGACGGAGGGCCCAAACCTTGCTTCACCCAAAGAGCCGTTTTGGATCCCGACCTTAGAGAAATATATGTGTATGCGCTCTTCCATTATTTCGGCACTGGCATTCTAATGCAATGAACGTGTAGGTTCTGCGGTCTAAGCAGACAGCTGCCAGGGAATCAGATCGTGATACAATCCCAAGCTCCCCACTGGGTCTACCGTTATCCTGCAGCTTCATGCTCGGAGAGGGGCAAGTGGATGAGACTGGTGCATGCTGATTCCGCATCCGGCCCTGATACTCCCAACCCGGAGGACCGGGAGCCTAAACCGCGATACGCTCATCAACTGGCGTATGACAGGCACACGAAGACCGTCTTCATGCATGGTGGAAACGCGGGTATTCGGGAGGGTGCGGGTGACATGACTGAAGTCAACGCGAGCACGGAAGAAGCCACGAAAGAAGAGAAGGAAATCAGGCTAGATGACTTCTGGTCAATGCAGCTACAAAGGCCACCTAGGACCGAGGTTGCAAGGAAAGTCTTGTTTGAAATAAGGAAGCAGCAGTACGTTTTGGTCCACCCTCATTCGTCGAACAGTTTGCTGACAAAGTTCAGGTTTCGCGAGATGTGCGAGGATGACACGGCTATCGAAGCGCTCAATTTCCTGAGGGACGAAGTCTCGTCTGTGGTCGATCATACTTGTCCGGAAGAAGAGGACGTGTTTCAATCACTGTTGTCGCACCTGGTTGCACAATCACCACGAGTCACATCTATACGAGACAGCAGTTCGGCGCGACAATTGACAGACGACATACCCTCCATGTCTTTTCCCCTTGGAGACGCGGACGTGGAGATGAGTCCGCCTCCAGATGCGACGGATTCGCCCGAGTCCTCTTCCGGCCCTACACGACAACCTCCCTTGACTTGGGAGGAAGATCCTAAGGAAAAGGCCGAGCGAGGAGATGGCCCGGTCTTGTCCGCAGAGCGGTTCAAACAACGAACGGAGGTATTTGAACGGATCCTGACTTTTATCAATGAGGGGGCCAAACAGCCGGACGACGACCTGATCCATCTAATAGACGGATTGTGATCGCATGGCATCATCCTCGCTGGGCACTCGTTCATGGACATTATGACGGCTGGAAATATCCTGTAGACGTTGTATTCTTAGAGACACATATGTATTATTATGGCATAAATATCGTTGGAGACTTTGATACTTAGTAGTTCACTCCTGATTACCGGGCGACGTCCTTGAGAGCCGCATCAACGAGTTCCGCCATCCCGATTACGCCTTCCTCTTCTAATGTCCGACCCACCACTTGCACTGCGATAGGAGCGTTCTTGAACGTTGCGGGCTCGTCTAGAAGGTCGAGAAGAAATACTGTGAGACCTACGGACAACAGCTGAGTAGGAATGACTGGAACGTACATAGATTGTAAACATTCTCGTCCTCCTTGCTGAGGAACTTGTGTGGAGGCTGCTTGACGTCGACCTTCTCATCGAGTTTCGACACCGGAATCACAAGCGCCGCATAATCCAGCAAATTCCAGACCATAGTGAAACCGCAATTCCTGAAACACGGTCAATCGTCTTGGTGAACCCGCGAAGGGAAAAGACCACTCACGTATTCTTGCCGTGCGGCGGGGCGAGCCAGGGCGAAACGGGCGCAATGATCGCATCCACCGGTCGCCCAGTCCCTGTCTGCTCGACGGTGGCCTCCCACCGGTCCAGGTACTCTTTCCTCAGCTTCTGCTTCTTGAGGTGCAGCTGCCACAGCTGGTAAGCGGATATGGTGTCGGTGTGAGACGGACGGAAGGGCGCCTCGCTGGTCATCGCGTCGTCGGTCATGGAGGCCAGGATGGGTTCCCCGGTGGGCTGGGTGGTGACTGCGTAGTCTTCGGCGGCGCCTGCTGCCCAGATTGCGCTCTGGAGGAGTGTCAACAAGTTTGGTTGGGCTACCCGGGCTATACATCTGTAGAGCGACTGACCAGATTCTCAATCATCTCGCTGTGCTTCCATGGCACCCAGTCAATAACTGTGACCTTCTCAGTACCAAATTCCGCTTAGACGACGCGCCTCGCTCACCTTTGTGTCCCTTCGCCTCCAACGCCTTCTTGACCATCTCCAAGCCCCTGATAACCGGCGGATGCGGCTTGACCACCCCATCATCCCACATCACCGCAAAGCACATCCGCTCTCCGCCACCATGCTCGCTGAGCCTGTACGCGTCCTCGTCCCACTTCTTGCGCACGCACAGCGGGTCAAGGCGCCACGGCTCGGCGGACACGACGGCCTGCGTGAACGCCTTGAGACCGGAGATGGAGTTGGCGAGGGGGCCAAGCACGGACGGCACGGAGTCCTGGCCGAGCAGGGAATTGACGGCACCTTCGTAGGGAATGCGGTTATATGAAGGGCGGAGGCCGTAGACGCCGCACATGGCCGAGGGGATACGGATCGACCTGGTAAATTCCATGTACGACATCAGAAACGCAATATATTCCCGACAGTTCTGATGTGAGAATGGAGAGAAGACTTACCCTCCGATGTCGCTCCCAACGCCGAGTGGGCTTCCACGCATGGCTACGAGGGCGCCCTCGCCGCCGCTTGACCCACCGCAAGTCAACAGGCGGTTATGGGGATTGACGGTTCGTCCGAAGACGTTGTTGAACGTTTCCGGCCACTGGAGGACGTCAGTATAAGAGGATAAAATGGTAAAAAGAAACGCAGGGACGCACCATCAAGGTTTGCGGTACGTTCGTCCTGACGAATGGTACCGCGCCGCACTTGTAGAGTATCTCCACGAGGGCTGCATCTCTCTCAGCGTATTTACCAATCCAAGAGACGTATCCTGTCGTCGTTGACGTCCTCTACATATTAGAAAATCACGAAGTAGGAGGTAATGGCGCACCCATTGTAGTTTCCAAACCCTTGATACAGATCTGATCTTTCAGTGATACGGGCAGACCATGTAAAGGCCCCATAGGCTTTCCTGTCTTCTTGAGGTATTCATCAACCTCAGCTGCCCGTGCCAAGGCCTGCTCAACGAATATCTCGGTGAGACAGTTAGTCTGTAACAGGGCGGGCGTTTACAAAATGATCATTATCCTGATACAACCGAGGAGAACGAACCAAATTCTGTGCAATTATGGCTCTCTTGTAGAACGCAGTAGTAACCTCAACACTGGACCAGGTCCCGCTCGCAAGCTTGGCAAGGAGCACTTGGACATCGAGGGTGTTCGTGATCTCCCTCTCTCGCTCGCTCAGGAGCTCCGTGCATTGGTCCGGTATACCCGATACATCGAGGGTGTCCGCAGACGGAATATGAGGCTCAATGAGAGAGAACCAGTCAGAAGGGATGGACGCTTGCTGCCTGGCTCGTTTCTCTGCAACGAGTGCTTTCCACGCAGGTTGGGAGGACTGTTCGGCAGACATGGCGGGTACTTTGGATCAACACTTGGGACAGAATCCAAAGTCGATCATGCATTTATAGTGTCTTTAGACTCGAGATAAGGCAGGCCCTGGCACTGATAACTAACTAAATAGACCGATAGGCATTATCTTGGAGATTCAGATTGCCCAGCCTGAGTGCCGTCGGATGACCACCGGAGGGTACTCATTCCTACTGCACAGTAAGAGCAAGTACAACTGACACCAATATTGATTCGATTTGATTCGATTTTCACGAAAGAAACATAGACGAGACTCCAAAGTGCAAGTCATGGGGCAAAAGCAAGTGTGCTCAGCGAGTTTGACGGTGGCTGAAGCCAAGCTGAGCGTTTTCTCTTTCTGGCCGCGGCCCGATAATCCCGACACGGTCTGCCACAACGTCTTTCCTTCAGATTTCCGAATAACGAGAGAGCCAGTCAGAGCTCACCACAATCAGCTAACCTTGCCCTGACCAGCGATAGCAGTTCATTAACGTTCCTCCAGATCTTAGACGCTCGCTCTGAGTTCTGTGGCTCAGAGGGAAGATGTGGCTTTTTGGCATCAGTACTTGCACCAGTCGCTTGAGGAGGGGCATCAGGACCCAGATATCTCGCGCTCTCAAGTCGCATCAGAAACCGCAGAAGTACATAAATTAGCCCAAATACTCTACAAGCATCCCATCTATCGTCGCCGTATCAACCTCTGGCACCAGGAGACAATAGCTTCCTCCGCCTGCACCGCCCACGCCCAAACTTCCTCGAAAACAGCGTCGATGCCGCCTCTGTCGTCCCAGGAATCGCTGTCCTGCTTCTCGGTCATCGTGAAGCGCAGAACGTCCTTCACTGTGAGCAACCCTACGAGCGACCCGCGGTCTTCCACGAGGATTACTCGCGGCCTAGCCGTAGTGTAATATATTGTAAGAACGGGTTCGTAATTGATAGCAACGCAGCTCACCCTAGCCGTTTGAACATCTGCATCGTTATTTCTAACGGCAGCTGTGGAGACACGGTAATGGGCGTCTGATACGGACTGTCAGACCGTAGCCACGTCAAGTATCTAATGCATTACCTGGTTAACCCATGGCCAGAAATTGAGCGCATGGTCCGAAGCCATATCCTCAAGGATCTCAGCAGCCGAGTCTTCGTCAAGACCCACAGCGAGCGCAGACGTTATATCCAGCGGATCTGAACGCTCCGGATCGTCCCGCTGCGGCGAGAACGAACAAGGCGTTTGGAGAGAGACGCGCCGCATCTGCTGCGCTTTGTCTGTGGATGGTATGCATCAGCGTGGCCACGCCATTAGTGGGTCATGGACGCATCCACCTATCACGTAACGCAGCTCTGTGCGACCTATGTACCCGATCAGGGTGTTTGACGAGTCGGAGGATACTATAGGATAGCCCTGCACTTTGGTATTCGCCAATATTCGCTCTAGATCGCATGATTTGTGTCAGTGTTCAGTTGGGAGCTGTGAGCACGAACCGATGTCTCGTATAGTCAAGCCGGAGACAGGCAACGTATGAAGGTCAGTAGTCATGACCCTTGACACTATCAAACCGTTAGGGAAAAAAATCACTGCAAAAGCCGATAGTAACTTACCACAAGCGTTGAACGAATGTTCTTCCTTCTCAAGGAACGGGAACCCATTGAACCGTATCATTTCGTCCGCAATACCTCGTACATCGAGGAAATCGCCAACAGATTTCGTGACCAACAGGACAATCTACGCACAGATCCGGGTGAGTGGCGCGTTGAGGCAAAGCAACAGGATTCGGGTACCATGGTAGGCAGGATGTACGTCAATGCACCCGTCAACTCAAACATGATCACCACGACGGTGACAGTGATCCTCATCACCCCGCTGCGTACGAACGTTCAACATCAGCGCCCACATCCTGCAACACCGACTCACCTAAGAGCAGCTGCAGCCCCGAGGAACGCATAAGTGCCAGGGGTGATGCACGGCACATCAGGCTGGCAAAACGCAAATATCCCTGACGTCGGATACGCACTGCCCGCACTCCATCAGCTCTCCACTTCCCAGTGAAGGTACTTAAACCCAAACCCACTTGTTCAGCGCCTTCACCATGATACCGACCATACGCCCGAACGTCGCGCCGATGGCCATGGAGGGAACGAAGATCCCCGCGGGCACTTTCGCGCCATATGAGATCACGACGAAGCCCACGCGGATCACTGTCGCGAGCAGGAGGGAGTTCACCATCCGCCATTGGAAGGCTGTCCTAAACATACACGCAATGTAGCCGGAGGTAACACATTCCTGGGAGATGTGTGTGCGCACCTGCAGAGGTTGTCGTAGTCGCCCCCACTCTCGCATTCGCGGAAGAGGATCGCCATGCTCTCCGTCATATCGATGCGGAGGAACCGATTGAAGTACCCGACCATGGCTGTGAGCGTGGCGAGCGTCACTGCCTCGGCCACTCCATGGTTGGCCAAGTGTTTCCGGCGGAATGCCGCCACTTGCAGGTTGAACTTCACCATGAATGCGCCATATAGTCCCTGAGCACGGTTGAGTCACTAATGCAACACAATAATCTTCGACCACCTCACTCCGAATATACCGAGAATAACGAAGAAGATTATCTCGAAGAAGTGCCAGTCGCGGTCGTATGTGACTTGGAAGAGCACGAGTTTTCCTGTCCTGAACGGATTCATTGCCTTGGGTGCGAATGGTCAGATAGGTACAGGTGGGAGATCGCAGCTGTACTGACTGATAGTGTTACCGTTGCGACGAGCGCACAGAAGAAACTCCTCCACATAGTCTTGATGCTGAATGTATGGCTCATTTCCTGAGGAAATCTCCCATCAATCAAGGAAAAAGTACGTATTGTGCGGATGCTACCTCGATGGAAAACAGAACCCCACCGATGGGCGAGCCAAAGGCGACAGCGACTCCTGCAGCGCTTGCCGCGGTGAGGATTTCGCGTTTCTTCCCTGTATAGCAGTCAAAAGTCAGAGCGGGAACAACTGGAAGGATCTCCTTATTACCTTCGCTGTGGGAGAATCTACTTGACAAACTGGCGACTAGGTCGCCGATACAACAAGCAAGGTGAACGGAGGGACCTTCCTTACCAACAGACAGGCCTGACGCTATAACCAATGGCTGAAAGAACTAAGTATCGTTATTCAGTGAAAGCGTACCACTGACTTACTAGAGTCAAGCTTTTGATGAAGAAAGTCGCGAGTCCCAGGAAGCCCTTCATTACGAAACCCGCTAAGATACATTTTATTTCCGAGATCCCGGAGCCTGCGGCATACTTCGCAAGTGAGCGCACTAGGTGCGCAGCTCCAAACGAGAAAAGCGCCTGCACCGTCGTCAGTTTTGACAAGAAGACTTGCGGAAAATGATACGCACGGCGAAAATAACATAAATTAACCATCGGGCAGCGGTGACAGTGCTCCAAGGGTGCCAGGAGTCGCAGGGATTCCCCTCATCTCCCTCTACTTCCCAGCAGCAGAACTGCTGGTTCAGCCACCATCCGTCCGAGCAATAGCCCATCTTCAGGTCGGATAACCATTCCGTAATAATTGAAATCAAGGCAGCATTGATCCCAATCCCGACGCCTACAAGCAGAGCTCATGTGTTCCAACATCATCACGAATAGCTGAGTCACGCACCGACGAGAGTGACCACGAACCAGCTCTGTCCGGCATGAAGTACCTTCCTGAGCTGCGACCATAGCCATGCCGCAGTGACTTCTCCTCGAGGACCTCTGCGGTGAAGTTCGGCATCGCGAGCAGCTCGTATTCGCCTGTTCCTCTCGATTATCGAATCTTGTATCCAGTCTACGGGAATGGTCGCGACTTAGCCTACACCTTCGGCAGGTACGACGAGTTCTACGCGCCTATGGTTGTGAAGTCCTCGTAGTTTCTAGCACGAATAAGCAAAGTGAAACAAGGTAATCGGGAAGACTCACTGGGTATGTTGGAAGTCCTCGTCCGGGGGGCCATTGAGACCATCCATACGGTTTAGTGGGTCGGCAGCTTCCAGGAGAGCTGTGTAAGTGGTGGCGGTGCTGCTACATAGCCGTGGGAACTGGAAGGGTAGCCACCGAAGCAACTCACCTGCACCGAGGATCACTCGGTCAATCAATCCCCTGGTCCAATGGCTATCAATATCACATGGATAACACGTATAAGTACAGCCATCTCCCTGCCATACAGACTATCCTGGTCCGCTGCAACTGCACTCCATGACCACCATTCCGGATGAAGCTCTACTTGCCTGCAGCCAGTCTGCCAACGGCCAAGTTGTGCTAATTACCGGTAAGGTCCATTTACTTCAGTAGGGGAGGGCCACGTGAACTCAACTAGAACCTAGGAGGAGCCAAAGGAATAGGGAGAGAAACCGCTCTACTATTCGGTAAACACGGGTACGTGTCAGTCCGGGACAGGGGAGCACCACTCAGTACGATCTATCTTAGTGCTAGGGTGGTCATCGGTGATATAGACGCCAAAGGCTGTCAAGACGTCGTGGACCTTATAACGGGGGCTGGCGGGTGCGTACACTCCTTCCGTACAACGAAGTTCCAAAGTGAATCTTGAATGAATCAGAGAAGCCATCTTCCAGCCATGTAATGTAACGAAATGGGATGACCTCGTGTCACTCTTCGAGAAAGCGGTCGAGAGATTTGGATCCGTCGACTCTGTGGTAAATTGCGTCTCTCAGCTTCCCCTGGACATCTCTCAGAGTGATGCGTAGATCCCTGTAGCCGGCGTCGCGAACGAAGAAGCGTTCGAGCAGCTAAAGGAACAGTCCGGCCGCCCGGTGAAGCCGAATCTCACCACCGTAGAGATCAACCTGACGGCGGCTATCCACAGTAAGCATGTCAAGAGGATCCTCCTACCTAGGTCCCTGACACGCGCTCAGCCTCGTACCTCGCCATGCACTACCTAAAAAAGACGAAAGCGAACAACCGCCTAAAGTCCATCGTACTCATGGCCTCAATGTCGTCGTGGCAGGCGATCCCGGGCGTGCCCCTCTACAGCGCATCAAAACACGGCCTCCTCGGCTTCATGCGCGCCCTCGCGCCCATGGCCCAGACGGAGGGCATCCACATCGCCTCGGTGCACCCCTTCTTCGTCGGTAGGTCTCATCACACACTGGACTGTACACTCTAAAGCCGTCTCACGACCACACACAGACACGGGCCTTGTTCCCACAGTGATGAAAGCCGTGCTGGCGGGCGTACCCCTGACGCCCGTGACACGCGTCGCCTCCACCGTCTTCTACGCCGCCACGAACCCAGACTGGGCCATCCACGGCTCCACGCTCGTCCTGCTCGACGACGGCCCCGTCCTCCGCCTCGAGAAAGAAAATTTGCGCGAAGGTGTCTACGGTATAATGAACAAGCGCGCTGCGCGCGTCCAAGGGTGAGCCGTCCTTCCCTGCCCGCATTCTTGAGCCTTATAGACTGGCAGTGCCGCGGGATATGTGCAGGCGTTTATAGCGATCGTACGTGACTTGTGGAAGATATTTGGGAAGCGCTTGGTGTTGTCTGCCTTGTTGGTAGCCCTTGCTAGGTCGTCGTGGAGGTATAGGTACCGCAACTGAATTCCGCACACGCCGACGGAGTCTTCGGTTAGGAGCGTCATTACCTTCGATTTGCGAAAGCTTTGCTCCATGTATTCGTCTTTCGATACCACTTCCCTACTTCCACCACGTGTAATCATATATCTTAGCCTCACTCGGCTGTTGTACAAGCACTCTGCATCTACCCTGTGTGAATGTGCACTCCGCTAGGACGACGGGGCAATTTTCCAACGCGTGATCGAAACATTCAGTCAATCCCCATCTTTTCTTACTCTGGTTGCAACCTGAGTGGGAGTGTGAGCGGGCTCTCATATGTAAGTACGATTGAAGACTGGCAGCTCCGAATCACGGCAGAACCATCATATGAGTGATCATATGAATAAGTCAATTAGGGGGCAATACACATTATGGAGGAGATACAAAAGAAGAATACAGGACCCAAGAGAAAGATGACAGACCCGGAGAAAGAGAAACCGCAAAAGAGACATCCAGAGGAAAAAAGACCGAGGAGAGACACCCAGAGGAGACCGAACAGAGAGACCCAGAGATAAAGAAACCAGGAAGAAGATACCCAGAAGAGAGGAGACCTAAGAGAGAGACCCAGAGAAAGAGAAATCGGAAAGGGATGCCCAGAGAAAGGAAAGACCTAGAGGAAGAGAAACCTAGAAAAAGAGAAAGAGACCCAGGACAAAGGGAAGATACGATACGAGAGACTACACACGTATGACAGAAATATAGAAGAAAACCACGACTAAGCCCCACAATCCCAGAGAGAATACATCGCATCTACATCAGGTCTGCAGAGTCTGAAAGTATTGATCAGCCAAGTTGCAGCGAAGTGAAAATGGCGGCAACTCACAGGAACTCTGTCGAAATCGTGCACGACAATCTCGTCCTTGAGTTGAACGAGGCCCCGGCGCCAGAACGGAAGCAACTTCTTCCTCACGCGCTGAGCAATGTCTCAGTATGTTTCACGATCTATGAATGAAGCTGAACTCACCGGGTCTGGATGATCAGGCGGATCCCAACTGGGGTCGTAAGCGTACCGCGCCGACCAAACACCCTCATTGAACGCCTCGTTAGCGGTGTTCTCTCCCTCCGACCCTCCTTCCATGTCCTTGTAGGTGATCGCATCCACGGTGCGCGCAGGCTTATAGTCGTCGCCACTTCCGGAGGCTTCATCGGAGCTTTCATCGGATAGGGAGTCCGTTTCGTCCTCGTCCTCACAGGCAATCCGACCCATCTCGGCGGGGTTAGTGTCAGAGATACCCTCTAGTAACCCAAACTTGCAGGCCATGTTCCGCGTATGATACCGTACTGCACGTCGCCCATCTTCCAGCTCCATGAGTTTGATCCGTTTGGTCTCCGCCCGCACTTTCGCAGACAAATGCCCGGCGCCGGCCAAGACAAGTTTAGTGTCCTCCCCAGAATAGTTAGGCAGGACCCGCTCTCCTCGCGCGGCGCGCTCCAGAAGGAACCCGTACTGATACGCCTCGATTGGCCAGGCTTTGTCGGGTCGGCGCTTCGCATAGTACCGGAAGAACAGCTGGTCGTCGATGGATTGCACGGATTCGGGCCTCAGAGCGAAAGATGTGGGACGTGAATCAGAGCCTGAGGGAGAAGCGAGTTGGCCCCAGTGCGGAGGACGGTCCGGACGAATCCACTCCAGATTGCGGGCAAGAGGAATTGCTGCGAAGCCGGGAGATCCTTGACCTGAGCAATCCAGAGACGAAGGAGTACAGACAGAAGGCACCGGCGGAGAGGAAGAGGAGCACATGGCCGGCAGATACCTAGGACTCCGCTCAGAGACAGTTGAAGCCGGGGATGGCGCCGAAGGTCGACCAGCACGAGGAGAAGTAATGCCAGCCGAGGGCGATGGCGAGAACGTTGGGCTGAGCATGGTCGGGAGATACCTTGGACTTCGATAAGAGCGACTCGATGCCGGAGACGGTGCACAAGGCCTAGCAGGAGGGCTGCACTCTGGAGACTCCATTACCGACGAGGCCCTCCGGAGTTCACGATGCCTGGATCCGCAGACACTTGGCGAGCTCTCGAGGGAGTCCCATCCGTCCATGATATCTGCCATCAGAGCGCCAATTTCCGAACGCGGTCGAAGATCCGAAGGGGATGTAAGTACGACGCGCTCTAATTGCGGGGGTAGCTAGAGCAGCGTATATCAGATTAAGACGTTCATTAAGAGATATTACGAATTGCACTCACCGCCTTAGGGCTCGCGGAAGGAGTGCTACCGGGGTTGAGACGAAGAGGACGCGTCGCTGGTAGAGAGTCCCTGTACTTACCCTTACGCCGGATAGAAAAAGCCAGAGAATGCCTGCTGCTTCGCTGACCAGTGGAAGTGGGGGTCGAAGTAATCACGGACCTCATCCTAGACGGAGTAGGCGGAGCCGGTCGTACAAAAGCAGAACTCGAAGGCCGTCTTCGCGAACAAGAAGGTCCAGCCACAGGGGAAAGAGAGCACCGCCAGCCAGAAGGCGAAACCCACGATTCTAGCGAGGCCGGCGTGCCCTTGAAATCGACCGGAAGCAATCGCCTCGAGGAACCAGAAACACTAACGGGCGAGCGTGGCACGATAGACCGCCGATACTCTTGAACACCCCCATCCGGAGTAGGAGCCGAGGGCCTGTAGGGCACGTACCGCGGGGAGCCATGGCTGCTAGCCGTCCGAGTACGAGTATGAGGTGTCGACCGAACAATGGGAGAGTACAATGCCGAAGCCTCTTCACGTAGCTGCTGCTCCCATGGGTCAGTAGTGTACTCTAGAGAACCAGCCGAGTCAGCGGAAGTCAGAATTTCCTGTGACGGCAGAGTAGCGGTGACCGCGGGATGTTCTTGAACCGCGCTAGGCGTTCCCAGATAGTCGTGGAGAGGAAGGCTCAGAGGAGGAGTATCTACGACTGAATCCACTTCCTTTGCTTTTCCCTTCCACACAGACGGCTTCGGAGGCGACATAGGAGGCTGATCGCTAGTAAGCGTGATCGACTCCGCATAGGACGCGTTTGCCTCCGCCACGTCCAGAGAGTTACCGTTCCCGTCGCCAGAGAGCGTGTCGTCGAGATGGCCAGCGGGAGATTGGCACCAGGTGTTGTCCATAGGGGGGATGATAGGCGTCTCCAGTGGATCAGGCCTACCCTTCGCTGCGTTGTAGGTAGTAGGGGACTGCATCTGGAAGGGCGAACCCAACAACCCCAATTCAATATGAGGCACGCGAGAGGGTTCAGCAGTCCCAGTAGGCTGGAACGAATGGGACGATGAGTAAGGATATGAGAAAGTGTTAGAGCAAACTTACTTTCGCTCTCTCTGCGAAGAGAGAAGAGACATTACCGAAGTCAATCATCAATCCACTTAAAGCGGGCTGCTCAGTAGTCTTCGTTAGCATCGACAGAATATCTTGGGGGAGAGAACGCTTTACCTTGTTAACACAGGGACTTGCCTCGAGTTTACTACTCTCAACCATAGCAAGGGTCGCCGACTCTTCATCATCACTATCGGAAGGCGCCGCCTCCTTGTCCTCGAGCTCCTGTATCCCTTCGGGCTTCACCCCCACCCCTACCACCCCCTCAACATCAATCTCCGTAGTGGTAGGCACGACCTCGGCAAAGCCAACAACCTTGTCATCCGTCACCTCCGAGACGGACGACACAGAGGTACCTTGCTCATGCGCAAGGTCAGAGTCAGAAGATATGTTAGACGACTCCTCTGACGATTCACAAGTCTTGACGTCCTCGACGGGTGCAGCATCGTCAACGGCTGCAGGGGTAGGTACTAATTCAACATCCGGCCTGGAGACGACATAGTCGCTGGACAATTCACAGTCTACAGACTTGGCATCCGTCTCCTGGAAGTCGACGGCCAGGGCGGGCTCCGGCCGAATACTAACGCCGTCGACAGTTCCGACAGACTCGTCGACGGGGTCGCCCAGTGCTACTGGTATCGCCGGGGACGGTGAGAATACTGCTTCCTCGACTGGGGTAGATGGCTCCCTAGAGTCGCTCGGAACGTCGAGCGTCTGAGATACTGGTATCAAAGCCTCAGACTCGAAGGTGAACGTAGGCAACGAAGGCACGTCCGCGACATCTGAAGGCTGAGACGTGCGCGACGGACCGGCCAGAGATGAGTTCGTGCTACCTTGGGCCAAGCACGGGAGATCGATGCCAGTGATGCTGAGGGCCTGAACGGCGGGGTCGAGGTGCATATACTGAAACTCTTCGCGGTGGTCCATGAAACGCTGAACGCTCGCGTGCCGAGGTTTCTTCATGAGGTTCTTGGCCATGATATAGTCGAACTTCCGGTCCTGCGCACGCGCTCGTCAGACGAGAGCAGAGATCAAAGAACAAGGAACTTACATTGGGCAGCTTCCGGAATAACTTGCTCTGGAGAGGGTCGGGTCCATCGTATCTGTAGTTGTACATTTGCTCGTAGGTAACGGCGTCGAACGGGTCGGTGGGCGGGCCGGGGACGTAGAAGGTTTGACTGCTGTTCTTCACTTGATCGTCCTGAATGAGATGACTCGAGGCAACTGCGGATAACTCAGTATCACAAGAGGACGGGTGAAGGTCTTGCGCTTACGGTCGCACTCGAGAGGGGCGTTTTCGAAGTGATCATCAGGAGCGTCGTTGCTTGCCTTGGCTGTTACGTCCATCAGTATCGAGCAAGAGTAGCATACAGTATAGTTTACCAGCAGGGCCGTCGGTGTTGCTCCTGGGTTCTTCACGGATAGAAGCTTTGCTGGCTGGAGTCGGAGGGCCGTCCGCGGGGACAAAGGCGTCGGGTGAAACAGGCGCAGGTTCGAGTTCCTTGACGGGCTCGACAGCAGCGGTACCAGCCGCTACTGGGGCGGGGAGAATGGGCTCGTTGTTCCTGGGCGAGCGGCGCTTGAAGACGTAGCAGAAGAGGATACCCAGGACGATAGAACCGAAGATGGAGAGGATGAGAAGGACAAGGAGAATAATCAGGTACGCGGGGATGCCGGCGGGGGCGGGGGCGGTCGGGGTGGGCGTGACGGGGTGGTCCATGGCGCCAACAGAGGCGGGCGGGTGACCGACGACGTTGCTGGATATATCGCAGAAGGCGTCGGTGGACGTGGTTCGGGATGAAGGAGAGCGGGCGGGCGTGAAGGGTTTATATTCGCCGTTTGTTTGCGCGTGGTTAGCAGAATCAACAATCGACTCGGGTCACGTTCAGACGCGTCGCGACGAACATTGCCTGAACGGGATGTGTGAAGGGTTCACCTCTGGAGTCTTTCACCCGACGCGGCGCGGACGAGCGCGAGCTCGACATATACTCCGAAGGAAGCGCTCCCTGTTCGGAGCACTGCACTTTGGCATATGTCGAGCCCGCCGAAGTCCCGCCTCCATTGGGTCAGAAATCACCATTGTTTGAGCAGCTGGGATCAGAGCATGCGCCAGTGACCGAAGAGTGACCGTTCAACATGTCGCTCTGTCCGTGTAATCCACCGCTTGAAAGACCAGGCCTTGAGTTGACTTGACAAGCAAAACATCAGCTATAAAACGCAATTGCAGATCTTTACCGAGGGCGAAGGAGACAGTGTCCGATGAACTCCGTGGAGGTCATGGAGAGAAGGCATTATAGCCGCGGATATAGACAGATGACCGGGGATCCATCTTGACCGAGAACGGGCAGAACCAGGAGTTTGGTGGTTCGTAGTCTTCACGTTCGACGTCTGAGGCCTGAGGGCCAGAGCCTGCCAGAGCCAAAGCTCGCCCGAAGCACCTATGCTTCTGTTGCACGTGATCGTCGCGTCGCGTCACGTTGCAGGTGTAGTAGACAGTGTCTGGGGTCCACTGTCCTTCAAACGCGCCGCCTCTCTGACCTTCACTCGAATGCTCTTCTGCAAGTATCGATATATGCAAAACGGACTCGTGCTCTAGCCTCCTACGCAACTTGACATCTGAGAGTCCGGGACAAGTCTTGGGGCGCCATGACAGCGCTGCCCGCGTGCAGTCGTCACTGGAGCCAATGGATGATGTCACAGCCCTCTCCCATATAATGGCCGACTCGCCCGAGTCCGACATTGAAGACGACCACTCCGACATCGTCGACGATGGCGATAAACTTCCCCCAAACGTACCCCTCACCGCCCTCCATAAACCCCAACCAGCACGCTCCTCCACTCAACCCCGACCCGCACTTTCCCCCTCCTCCCCGCCCGACATGGTCTTCCTTCTCCCGGCCCCTGTATACTTCGTTCCTGCTTCACTCCGGTCTTGCCGTCTCGACGCATGCGCTGGCGGCGGTAGCAACCAACTACCGCCTTGATGCCAAGGATGTCATTTGGCCTGGCGGGATGCTCCTCGACGCTTGGTACCAGTCGGTTGGCGTGCCGGTCATTTGGGGAGGTCGCAGCGTGGGCGACGTCATTTCTGGTTTCGGTTGGCGTGAAAGCCTCATCGTGAGTACCTATGTGAGTCTCAGGGAGGGCGTGGGCTAATGGAAAGCTCGTAGCTGGGCGGTATCACTACACATTCTCTGCGCCTGATGTACCACCTCTGGAAACGTGCCTACAAGCGCGGACACGACGACATTCGTTACGCGTACAAGAAGACCGAAAAGTCAAACTGGTATCTCCGATCCCTGGTCACCGATTACCTCCCCGAGGCGCTGTTCCAGACATTGATCTGCTTGCCATTCACCTCGCCCTTCCGGTGAGTTGTTGTCGAGTATACTTGAATTTCATCCTCATTGTTTGGGTATTAGGTATGAGCCGGCCCCTGGATACTCGGCCACTTGGAACTGGACGGACTCACTTGCGGTCTTTCTCTGGACTGCCGGGTTCGCGATGGAGACTCTTGCAGACTACCAGCTCTCGAAGGCGAAGAAATCCGGCAAGACGCAGGGCCACCTGATGACGGAGGGCGTCTGGAGCATTGTCAGGCATCCAAAGTGAGTCCGAGTCCAGCGTTGAGCCTTGTTTCCGATGCTGACGCGCTTTGCAGCTACCTCTCCAACATCCTGACCCACGTCGCATACCCGCTTCTCCTAGTCTCCACGCCCCTCTCTCACCCAGCCTTGGTCCTCGGCCCTCTCGCCAATTACGTCTTCCTCCGCTTCTTCGGCGGCGACGCGCTGACCGAGACATACCAAGTGCGTCCACCGCCGTCCCTCGCCTCCTGGGATAGCCATACTAAATTCGACCTCGCGCAGGAGCAGCACTACGCGGAGGCGGCGGACTACACGAAGCTTGGGGACCTCCAGGAGTATAGGCACACGCGCAACGCGGTGTGGCCGGGCCTGGAGGCGGTCAAGCAGGGGTGGACGTGGGCGGTCGTCGGGCTGGGCGCGGCGGGTGTGGTGTTGGAAAGGGGGCTCAGAGCGTGGGCGGCTCCTAGGGTGTTGTGATGCTGCTAGAATGAAGGACTGAAGTATTGACAATTGATAGTAAATGTATTATACTGCTGAAACTAATAATCATGTACTGATAACTTTAGTTCACGCTGACGCGGCTTTCTGTTAGTTGTCGATCGTGCCTTCTGCTGACGAACGCGACGAGTTACCCATTGATTACAGTTATCGCCAGACGTTCTGTTGCTGCCCCGAGGTGATATATGATTATTGCATCCACGCTGGACCGCCTACGCTGTCATACTGTAGTCTAGGGTCATGTTTGATGCTGTTAAAGACTTCATCAGAGTCTATTATAGTTTCCTTGAGTTTGCTTGTAGAGGTTTATAGCTGTTGTCGCTATATAGCGTACTGTGCCTTGGACCTGGTAGTAGTTCGCCTGCTGGCAAAATAAATACGAAGGATCTGTCTCTATCCCTCCTGCCCGACGTCGTTCCTTCTCCCCGACGCGGGCGGTTCAATGTTCAGCCGACAGTGGTAATTAGCGCCACAAGCACAATGCGCTGTGACACTGACATCGTGACCTAACGCGTTGTCGTTGAATAACGCGCGGGACGCGTCCATCCGAACGAGCCACATCCCGGGTATTGGTACAGGTAGGCCCAGGCCACATTGTGTGTCCCCTCATCAAACGAGTCATCAATTCGTGCATTCTGACTGGTCGAGCAGCGGCACGTGCTGTTAGGCGAGGGTGACCTTGTTCTTCCTTTGGACGGGCGCGCTACCCGGCTGCAGCGATTTGTGGTTGTTTTGTCGCCTTTGGCTCTGGTTCGAGTCGCCCTTGCTAGTCATATATAAACCGCAGTCGTCGCTGGTACGTGGTTATCTCCTGTTCTCTCCCCAACGCGACCTCACCGCTGGCATGTCCGAAGGCACAACCCCGCCTCAGATTCCTCCTCCGGACACGACTAAGACCCAACCTCCGGACAAGAATCTGAGAAATCCACTTCGATTTGTTGGCTATACCGTCGGCCCCACGCCATCTGTGAAGTCTACTCCCATGAAGAAAGGCGCCAAACCAGGTGGAGACTCCGAGCAAGTAATGGAAGATCTCGAGGAAATAACAAGCGCGCAAATAGACGGCTATCGAGCCTCGGGAATCGAGGGCCTGGTTGAACATATTTTCCCCGACGACGTCCTCCCTTGCCCTCTGGAAGAGATATACGAGCACATTTCCAAGCCTCGAGGCAAATACTTCCCCAAGAAGCAGAAATGGCATATGTGCCCTGAACTCCGTGTTCCATCCAACAACGGTGACCAAGAGGAGAGATTTGCGAAGTTTCTGAGACTTCTTGCCGATAACATTGCCACTTTTGTCTCTACTACGTATGGTCACACGATCCCCCGACGTGATGTCTCGGCCGAGTTTGCGACACAGGGCGTTCCAGGAGGTCCTGAAAATACTGGCCACCGACCCGATCTCGTTTTCTTTGAGAAGGGCGCGGAACGAACATGGGAGAATGCTGTAGGTTGTTGGGAGGTCAAGAGCAACAATAACCACAAGCTCCGACGTCATGCGAGGTGCCAGCTGACCACGCGCGCCTTCATGATCTATGAATCTCAAGACGACAGACGCTTCGTACCCGGAGTATCTATCCTCGGGTACGATGTTATCTTCCATATTATCGACCGTGCCGGTGAAGTCGCTTCCGCTACCTTCAACATGAGGAGCGACCCTCGCCAATTCCTCCGTCTCGTCGTCGGATTCATGTTCTGCGGCCGGGATAACCTCGGGTTCGATCCGATGTTTACGAGGCTCCCAGATGGGACCAGTTGCGTGACGATACAAGGAAAGGTGTATACTCTTCACCAGAACGTGCACCGCGGTCACACTCTTCGTGGACGTGGGACGGCCTGTTGGCGTGCCACTTGTGAAGGTGTCACATATGCCATCAAAGACTATTGGACGGACCGTACCCGAGCGTCGGTGGAAGCCGACTTGCTGGAGAAGGCCAAGGGCATGCAAGGGGTGCCAAAATTGGTGGAGCATGATATTATCACCTTTCAGGGGAAAGAGGATACGACCGGTCTAGTCCGCAAGATACTTGACAATCCTCGGTACAGAGAGCAGTGGGAGATGTTTGATATCCGCGTTCATCGCCGCCTGGTCATGACGCCGTTCGCTCTGCCTATCTACTACTTCAGAACGAAGAAGGAGCTAATTAAGGGTTTCATGGATTGTATTCAAGGTACGTCGGACTTCACTGATCAGCACAGGACCATCCGCGAGTACTCACGCCCGTCCCTCTAGCTCATAAGGATCTGTTAGAGAAGGCCAAGATCCTTCATCGTGACATTAGTATCAAGAACATCATGCTGGAGGAATATACGGAAGGGGGCCGTACTTTCAGGCGTGGTCTTTTGATTGACCTGGATTATGCGACTGATTATCCCGAACCAAAGCATAGGCAACCAGCGAAGGCTGCCAGGACGGTGAGTCGTTCAGACAGTCCCCGATCAATGTACCCTTATGGCTTTGCAGGGCACGACTCCATTCATGGCTATTGACCTACTCGAAGACGCAACGTTGCCCCATAAGCCCGAATGGGACCTAGAATCGTTCCTCTATGTGCTCATCTGGATCTGCGTTTTCTACATCGGGCCCTGCGATCGAGCCAAACGCATAGACATCAAGGAAACGGAATTGAAGACTTGGGTAGAAGGTGATTTCACGTCGATCTGGAAAGCGAAAATGAGCTGCATGCGACTGGACCCTATTTGGAAGCTGCTGGTCAAGGATTTCAACCCTTATTTCAACGAAATCAAGCCCTGCATTGATGAGTGGCGCGGGCTCTGCAATAACCCTGGTCTTGCTCCTACCCACGACAGGGTCCTCGCTGTCCTGCAGAACGCTTATGACAAACTTCCGGACGACGAAGAGCCTTTCATCGATCCTGAACCAGTGGCTGCGAACCCACCCGCCGGTACGTCTACGGGATCCCTTGGTGCGCTCCGTGCCACACCAAAACGGACGAGAGATACGGAAACCCGAGACTTCTTTGGTGTCAATCGTCGGGAGGACGTGGTGCATGGCGGGAAGCGCGCCCGCAAAGACAAGTCGGGCAATGCCTACTATTCGGAGCAACTTTCGGAGCAACTTTTCCAATCAGGGGGGGAGAGCTCCTATCCGGCCTCCCTGGGCAGTTTCGTGCCGACTGACGCAGAGGAAGGGAGCGCCTCTTCCTCTTCTGCTTCGGCATCTGTAGAACCCGTCCAGCCGCTTCGAAGAACTCGCAGGAAAAGCATGCCGTCGTTGAAGGTGCGGGACAGCAAGGAAAGTGGGGGATCCTGAAGCGGCTAATTTGCAAGTCTGGTTTGGGTTATGGAGGGGATAGCATTTTTGAGTGAGGAGGAACGTATGATATACTCATGGTTGTAAGTTTGCTATTTCTGCTATCGCTCGCTGTCATGTCGTATGTGCTCTGTACTCGCTGTTGCAATGAAGATGATATTTTCTGTCTTATGTTCGCGTCGACGGTACCTTGGTTCACTGCGCCAGCGGTGTCGGCTTCGTCGAAGCAGAACGCTGAAGCGAGTAAATTGCCGAAATAGCTGTCCTAGGCCTGTGTATCTGTGGCTGTGCAACGTGATCTCCACAGATCATCTGCATCTTGTCATTGCTGCGCTGCAGTAACCAGCAGCCACACCTTTCAATCCCACTACCACGTCCACCCCTCCTCGCTCCAGTATCACCTATGAGTACTGCCGCCACTACAGAACCGCCTTCTGCGGCTGAACCACATACTGAAGCACTTAGCAGTGCGCCTGCTACAGCCGAGATACCCAGCGTTCCCCAACCAGCAACTTTGCCATCCCCTTCGACAGACGTGCACGAAAGTGCGGCTACAGGAACCACTAGTCAGCAAACAGCTATTGTAGAGAGCCGTAACGACGATGGTCCACCGCTTCCACCGAGAAATAACCAAGGTGATGTCCAAGAAGACGCAGTCGACCCCAGGGTGGCGTCGTTACAGCCCATGTTCCCCGATTTCGATGCTACAATTCTGTGCGTATGCGCCATCCATTTCTTTCCCAATACTAATACGATTTGCACAGGCATTCTGTCCTAGAATCCGTGGGATGGGATCAGGACAGGGCGGTCGACACCCTTTTGGGTATGAATGATCCAGATTATGTCTCGCAACACCAGTCCGGTCCGCCTGCTCCGGTTAGTTTGCTGACCACCGAAATCATTACCATGCTCATCCGACGCCGATAGTCTCAGACCGATCTGGACGAACAGCTCGCCCGTCGTCTCATGCTCGAAGAGGAACAGGAACAGCAAGCGGCAATCCAGCGGAACCATCAATGGTCGCCTTCCAACCAACAATCACGCGGGAGGACAGGCTACTCTCCGCCGCAAGGTGGCGAGGGTGCCGAGCGCGACACCATGGCCGAGGTCCAGGAACAGTTTAACAAAGTCGCGGAAGGTATGTGGAATTTGGATATCCCTCAGGTACAGATATAGTGCTGAGTCATTCATCAGTGGGAAAGAAGACATTCACTTCGATTGTGTCGAAGGTGAAAGCCAAGATGCAGGAATTTGACCAATCAATGTCAGAATATTATTCACCTCAAACTGCATGCGATGGCTAATTCCAAAATTTAATAGGCAGGGCCAGGGCTCCAGTGCCGGCACAACGCCTAATTGGGGCGGCACTGGCTCCTCTTCGTACCCTCAAGCAGCTCAACAACCCGCTGGGGACCGCCACTCACAGCAGGCGTACTATGCTCCGAATCCGTACACTGACCGGATTGCGCAGCCTGTGGCGATAGGCCAAGCACCCCCCTCTTCAGCGACAGCACAGGGCTACGACGTCTCGCCGAATCCCACTCCTCAAAGTAAGCTTTCCTTATCTGCAGCTGCCGACTCAGATAGCTGAAGGTGCAATGCAGGGGAAGCGCCATCGCCTAACTCAACGAACTTGCCATCGCCCTCGAGTTTCCCTGCGCCACACAGCGACACCCCGCGTCCACCTGCCACGCAGACGGGTCCCCCTACTCCTAGCATCGACCCCAGTACGTCACAATCATTCACTGCATAGCATACCCTGGCTGACACGATGACAAACAGGCAAGATAGGCTTGCTACCTAAACGCCCGGTGTCGCTCGTTCGGGACCAGCACTCTTCCACGCGGCCTCGCGATGACGACGACGAGCTTGAATACGTGGAGAATCCGTTCGAGGATCGGAAGTGAGTGGATGTGGCGAGAACTCAGGAGAGGGAATGTTTGTACACTAGTCATGGATGCAGCTGATTAATTTTGTACGAATTATGTGTATTGCACTCGTAGTCGATTGGATATCGGACACTGAACGGCCACGAATCCGCTCGTCTCTTTTTCCTTGTGGCATAGAGAGATGCCTGACCGTCAGCCCAGCGACTCTGTAGAAGACCAGGTTTCATCATGAACATTATAGGTCAGGAAAATGATGATCCCGTATTTAGAGCTCGATGTGTCCGTATGGCGACGGCATTGAAAGCGGGGAAGCAGCAGCGAAGTCCTTGGTCCTGCCGACCATAAGTAGACCAACTAGGGGATATTACTCCACAAACAAAATCAACTCTCCAATCACTACGACTCACCAATCAATCCGAATAAGCCCAGAATGCTACCGAAGACCTCGACAATGAGGATCTTGACGAAAAGGTTGGGGTCGGCGGCGTCAGCGAGAGCAGCCGTCGAGCCCGTAATTCCGACGCAGATACCACATAAGAGATTGCATGCGCCAACTGTCAGACCCCCCCAGAAAATGGCGAAGCCTGTACATCGTTTATTTGGTCTGTGTAGGGTAGGCACGGGGAGGACGGTGAAAGCGTACCGGTGAAGTAGTTGTCTTTGGTGTAGATCTGCGTGTCGGGTACTTGGCTTAGCTTTGCAGAATAGACGATGCCGATGATCTGGCACGTGTGACACAGTGAGAACGATAGCCAGGAAGGTTAGCGACAGAATCTACCACTCCGTAGATTGCGACGACTTCGCAGAAAATGATGCTGCATGCCGGGCACTTAGCTATATGTTCGAAGACAAGGCATTACAGCCCACCTAATGAGATTCTTTGTCCGTATGCGAGGCGCTCTAACACCACCACCGAGAATCGATGCACCCGTAACGAAGATGCCCCTGTGCCAGCCAGAATCAGACGGTACACAAATCCGTGAGTTGATATACATACCATCCAGCTCCAAGCACACTCAGCCCAATACACAAGCCAATACCAGTCGCAGCCCACGCATACGGACTGGACTCTTCGAGGAACCTGCCGACGTTGAATGCCTCCCCCGAGCCTGCACATGCCGTTCAGGACGCTCCGCGCCGCAGCACAGATGACTACTGACCAGTAAATAAGAGGTATAGGGCTATGACAAGAGTCACGAAGGTGGGGAGCCCAAACGCATAGTAGCTGGTATAGAGACCCATTAGAGTCACGTCGAGGTGTAGAGTAACCAGAGTTGCCGATCCGAGCTGCGTCACGGCTGGTGATGCGCACGAGCGCCTATTCCCCCTGAACCTGAACATAGCATGTATCACCTTCTGAAGGGCTTGCACGAATATCTAACGAGGTACGTCTACACCTGCAGTAATCTCGGCATCTTTCCATAGCAGGTCTTCAGGAAAGAAGAGTTCTCAGTAATTATAATCGGGCTGGATGGGGCTGGAAAGACGGTGCGTCAGTTGTGCTACTTGAAGACGCATGATTCATTGCAGCCTTAGACATTGCTCGAGAGGATAAAGACCCTGTACAACGAGACCCCTGGCCTTCCTCCTGACAAGATTTCTCCTACTGTTGGACAGAACAGTGAGGAAGTCCTTTCGTTGGCATTGCATCCTTCCCTGAGTGAGCGACACTAGCCGGCAAGATCACACTGCCTTCCACAATCTTGCAATTCTGGGATCTCGGCGGTCAGAAGGGAATTCGTTCAATTTGGCCTCGCTACTACGATGACTGCCACGCCGTCGCATACGTGATCGACGCGTCTGATCGAGAAAGACTAAGTGAAGGCTGGGAAGTATTCGGTATGTGCACGTCTCTCTCAGGCTGCACGGTACGAAGCGTTGACAGCAAGCTAATGTAAGGGAAATAAGACTCCGTCCTTTCTAACCGTCAGATCCTCGGAATACCCCTCCTGCTACTTGCTAACAAACAAGATAGCCCGGACAGCTTGTCCGTGGAGGAAATCCGCCATGATTACGAAGAATGGCACCAGAGAAAGCAGGAAGGCGCACGACTGAGGTACGCTGAAGAGATGGACATGGAGGGTCGCCGAGAACGTATTGCAAGCCTGGACGTCATGGGAATATCAGCTCTCGAAGGGTACGTCCTTGTAATGACGATCATGGACAGTTGACTGCAATATCGATCTTCCGCCAGGACTGGTGTTCGTGAAGCTGTTGACTGGTTGTTCATACGCGTGCAGAATAGTAGGCGGCGGTATGTTGTCATTCAAATGCAAGTATCCTAATGTTGATTCCATCGCGGTACCTCCGACAGAGAGGATCAATAATTCGTAGGAATCGCAGTCATGTTCCGGAGGGTCCTGCATGGGGTCCGTGAATTGACTCCGGTCGTTGCCACCCGTTTTCTTTCCATTTCATCCCTAACCCGTAGTCCTAGCCGGAGACTTATAGATGATCTTCCGCGGGGCTGCCAAGACAAGTCCACGCCAAGCTGGGATGTCTTTTCTCCAAAGGATCCTTTGCTCGGAGAAAAATTGGTGGCTCCGCGCGCACCCAAACCGTGTACCATGCAGGGACCGTAACCAGACGTTGTGATTGACGTTCGATGCAAAGAATAGCGATTTACAGCTGTTTTCCGAACGGAAGGCACGGCGTTTCTTCTCGCACGCCAAATGGCCTTCGGGCAAGAAAAATCTGTCGCAGCCGCATTCGGGCTCGGATGGTGCTTTGAATCTGTACATATGTGTTTGTGATATAGAGAAAAAATATGGCATTGAAAGAACGACGAAATTCGGTGCAGGGGTGCTGCCTACAGGAGAGGTAGCAAACATGTACCAATCCAGGAGTATTCAGGCTGTCAATCAGGGAACAGATATCCTACCACTCTGGTACTTGGCACACATAATCTACAGTATGTTACAAACATGTCTAAGATTTGCTGGACTCATGCGTCTATCCGGGACTGAGGGGGGAGCTTGCTACTCCTCCTAAGGAGTGATTTTCTTGTACATGCTCTTCAAAATCAAACACAGCATCTAAATTTGTGATAGGTATGTTAAATCCATGTATATATGTCCCTCTTTTAGTTCCAATACTCAGAAATGTGCTCTGTTACTGCGTTACGAATCGGCAGCCCTCGAGCTCTGGCCGAGCATTGACCGAGACGCGCTCACGCGGTCGTGAGAACTCATTTGTCGCGTGACGTCACGCTGGCTCGACGCGTCGCGCCTGCGTCGGGTACAGCTCGGGGATCATTCAGTACACGACAGAAAATAAACCGCTGTTCGGTTGGGCGTATAAGTACAGTGCCAGACTGAGTATACTACTGTAGATTATGTTTGCTAAGTACCAGGGTGGTAGGATATCTGTTCCCTAACTGACAGCCTGAATACTCCCGGATTGGTACATGCTTGCTACCCCTCCTGTAGGCAGCACCCCTGCACCGAAGTTCGTCGTCCTTTCAATGCCATATTGTTCTCTATATCACAAACACATATGTACAGATACAAAGCACCATCCGAGCCCGAATGCGGCTGCTATAGATTTTTCTTGCCCGAAGGCCATTTGGCGTGCGAGAAGTCACGCCGCGCCTTACGCTCCAACCATTTAGTTTATGTTTGCAGATTTTTGTAAACTAAACATTAACATAAACAACCAGTAAACTAAACAGTAAATAAACAGTAAACAGCCTGTTTTGTATGCTACCGAGGTAAAGAGACTTCTGGCTCCCTCTATAATGCCCGGATGTCTCCAAGATCTCACGAGAGTCATACATGACATAGTCTAACATACTGGGAGAACCGTCGAAGCCGGTTGTCCTTGTCACTGGGTACAATACCCATATTGAGTCACTGAGAAAGTGTGAAAGGAACCGGACAAAGGTCAAATTTTGTTCATAGTGTTGCCTCACAATGTCGGAAAAATCCAAAAACCCATATCAGGTCTGATGAAGCCTGATGGTCTTATAATGCCTGATAGGGTTTGGTTTCTATCCCGGTCAGGACGTATCAGGCCCGATAAGATGTGACAGTGTTTCCGGTCTCGTATACATGTTTTTAGTACCTTGCGCCTAAAGTAAGTAAGTACTATGCAACTGTGAATTCAGTGCATTACCACGATGCCCTCGTACTGCGGGATTATAATAATGAAGTGGTGTTGCATATGCCCCATACACACGGAAGGAACCAGATGACAGTATATAGCACGATTAGTTTCACATCTGGTATTGCACATTTAGTATAGTAGTTAACTCGCGCGACCTAATTCTCTGTCGACTTGGTGGCCCTGTGTTCGAACCTGACTAGTGCACTCATGTTACCTAAGATGGTAATTGGACCATAAAATGCATGTAAGGAAAGAGACTACAAAATCAGCTGAGTTGGGGAACAATGAAGGTGGAAGTGAAATGAGATTTTTATTATTATTCGTGGGAAACCCTATAAGGTCTCATAAGACCTGATCAGGTAGCGTCAGGCTGATCAGGCTCCGTCAGGCTGGTAGTGCGTTATTCCATATTTTCGAACCTAATATGAGTATTAACAACCTGATGGCCTTATTGGACCTGATAAGTTCTTACAACTTCCGATAAGGTTTTTTCGAAAGTTCCGACAAAAACAAATGGAAGTTCAATGAACAGTGCTGAACAAAGATCATATCCCGTGTCACAATCAGATTTTTGCGCACTCAAAAGTAGTATTATTCTAATTCGTTTCAGTGACTGTGCAATGGACAATCATGAAAGAAGTTTGACCTTTGACCCAGGCTCCTAAACCACCCGTCCTTAGCGTTCGCGCTCCTCTGATTACTAGGGCAGAAGTGAAATATTATGTAAGAAAATGTATTATATGAGAATTACTGGATACAGAACGAACAAGAGGAGGAAAACGCTATAGGACGGTGATAGGCACTAACACACGACAACACCAAAGACCAAAAGAAATAAAACCTAAAACACCCAGCGGTATGGGTGTAGGCGGTCTAAGGCGATTGAAGGGTAATATTTAAGTTCGAAGGGAGGGGGAGAAGTTAGACGCCGTAGGGTAGCCCGTAGGAAAAACCTAAAACAAACAAAATCTTGAGGCCTGAAACAAACAGTATAGCGATTCTCCGGAGTATTTATCTCCGAAGTTCGACAGTAACCCGGGTGGGGAGTTCCACTGAACCCGAACAATAGTCTCGTGCCTACAGACGCTTGGTGAATTTTATACTTTAAATCCGGAGCTTACTTGGATCGATATGCGATGGCGGAGTTATTTAGTTTCGACGAGTTCGGCCTATTGGCAAAGCTAGGGTTGATTGTAGACGCTAAGTCCGACGCGAAGGGACTCCGAGGGTCGCTGAGACGATAATTCTGGTACGCTGAGGGGTGAAGTACAAAACTTGGATTTTCCACTACGCTCTATACATTTTTATGCTATTGGAATGGTTTTGCGTCCGCCCGGAGTTAAATAACAAATATGCTCCGCATCCCACATAATTACTCAGCCTTTGCCCACCGCTATACCATGTCCCATATGCTCCTGCCGTGTTTCCACATGCTCGTCCT